AAAACTTGGAGGCCAGAGAGGACAAAAATAAAAAGTTATAAGACTTTTAAATATGTGGATTTTAGGGTTATCTTTGGCGCCCCCTAGAACCTAAACCGTGGGGTGCAGCGTCATGATTTGAATAACTTTTAATGGCCATGGGGTGTAGATTGGCCTGAGCAAATGTGGTGCCGGTTGAACGAAAGCCTTCGGAGGAGTTAGCGAAATTCCAATGTGTGCGGATCGGCAAAAAATGCGCAATAACCCTTTAACAGTACATTTGACAGATACGCCCGCACTGACTTTTTTGTAGATCTTATTGAGATACATGTGTGTGTCAATTTTTGTGTAATTTTGACAAAGCGTACAGGCGTGACAGTCAATAGTGTGAATTTTCACCTTATGGAACAAGAAAAAATGGACTTTTTTCTCCTGCCATGGGGGGGCGCTCTTTTGGGGAGTAAAAATTCCTTCACAAATGTGTTGATGGCTGGACATTGCATCATCCTAGAAAACTTGGAGGCCAGTGAGGGCAAAAATAAAAAGTTATAAGACTTTGAAATATGTGGATTTTAGGGTTATCTTTGGCGCCCCCTAGAACATAAACCGTGGGGTGCAGCGTCATGATTTGAATAACTTTTAATGGCCATGGGGTGTAGATTGGCCTGAGCAAATGTGGTGCCGGTGGAACGAAAGCCTTCGGAGGAGTTAGCGAAATTCCAATGTGTGCGGATCGGCAAAAAATGCGAAATAACCCTTTAACCGTACATTTGACAGATACGCCCGCACTGACTTTTTTGTAGATCTTATTGAGATACATGTGTGTGTCAATTTTTGTGTCATTTTGACAAAGCGTACAGGCGTCAGGTGAATTTTTCACCTTAGGGGGCGCTATGGAGCCATTTTGCATTGTATTGTTTGGGCGACTTCAGAATATCAAATTTTTCACCAGGCCCGGTCGTCCTGCCAAATTTCATGAGTTTTCGCCAGTGAGAAGTGGGCCATTTTCCAGTTCAAAGGGGAGGAAAAATAATAACTAGGGCCCCGTTGGGGCACTGGCGGGCCCGAGCCGTGTCGCACCCCCCCCCCCCCAACGCGCTGCCTCCCCGTCCCATTCGTGTCCTCTGGCCATCGCCCTCTCTGGTAACGCCCATCACTGCAAAGACCCTTTTCCTTCATCGGCGTTTGCTGTTCTTCCTGCCAGTGCGTGTTGCTTTCACTTACACTTGCCACAGCCAGCCTCGTGAGTGCCTAGCCTATTGGATATCACTGTCACCTACACAGGACAGTCATACTTTGTTTTTTAATTTCACATTAATTTCCATATTGTATAAACGACTGGAAAAAACTTGAGCCCCTGCCCCTGTATTATCATGTGCACGTCCCTGTTCTAGCTCCAAGGTGAATCTTCAGTGCTCATGTTCTCCTCAGAAGCAGTCACCTCACTCCCCTCAGGTTACTGTACACATGCACCAACTGCCTGCTTCAGGTTTGGATGGAGCTTCATGGTTGTCTTTTGGAGAAATGACCAGTCAAGTTGTGTTTGAAATCTGATTTTTTTCAGGGGCAAAAGGAAGCCTCCGCATTCTTGTCAAATATGTAAATAGCATGTTTTTGCAGGTGCTAAAAAACAGACTCTGAGTGTGTGTGTGTGTGTGTGTGTGTGTGTGTGTGTGTGTGTGTGTGTGCGTGTGTGTGTGTGTGTGTCTGTGTGTGTGTGTGTGTGTGTATCCTGCAGTACTCTGAGAAGAATAATAAGCATATTTCTGAGGTGAATTTTGAAGATTCATCTGAGAGTTAGGTTTGATTCGATTCGATTGACGCTCCCCAGCGTTCAAGTCACATGACATATTTAACCGGATGTAGCTGCAAGACGGAGCCTCGTTAACTCTCCGTTTCAACTTATCTCAAAAGTGAGGACCTCAACCTATATACCAGTTTTTAAATTGTGTTGATAGGCCAAATAAAACCAGAGTTATGATAAATTATGTCCGCGATACTTTTTTTCTGCTTATTTTGATCACGTTCGGCGCTCGATCGTGCTGTATGAGACAGGAAAACATTGCATGCACACATTAGTGACAGGTCATACAGGCGGAAAAGGCTTGCCAAAAGAAAAAAAAAACACACCACAACATCTCTCCTATTGGTGGAAAACTTCACCACAACAACCAATCCAAAATTATATGGTGACTGATTGACAAGGGGCGGGCGCTTACGTTCTTCCTGCAACATGAGAAGGGAGGGAGGGACTCTCAGCAGGGATGCAGTCTGGGACACGTAGTTGCAAACCTAGCGACTTTGTTGTTAGATTCAATTACTTTTCAGACCCCCTAACGACTTTTTTTAGAAAGAAAGGGACTTTTATCGACTTCTTCTGGAGTTTAGAGACTCTGACATGAAGCAGGCTTTCCTTACTGAGGAGTTAGCAACGCTGCTAAGGGTGCAGAGCCACACATGCGCTCCGAGCTCTGCATGGGAGACAGAAGCTGACAGAGCTGCAGCAGTTAGCAGGTTTCACCCTCAGAGACCACCAGGGGTTCATGTTGAGGCATTTTCAGTTTTTTTTTTTTTTGCCATAGACAGTCAGCACAATCTGCAGTTACACTAACAAAAATGCTGCAAAAAACAAAGAATTATGGAAAAATTACACATGGACTGACATAGAGGAGGATCTACACAAGTTTTTTACATCATGTTTTACATCATGCATCATTTACATCATGTTTTTTTGTAGTGGCATAAATAAAAAGTGACATTTGTGAGACTATACAGTGTTTTGTAAATAATTTTACAAAGAACGCCTGGGCCATTGCCTGCATTTTGATGTAAATAGAGGTAAATTACTATGTTCTTTGTTAAAAATTTGCATATGTTTTGAAGTTTACAATTTTTATTTGAAGTTTAAGTTTTAAAAACAGTTCATCACACATATTTGTGGTTTAATTTCACATTAATTTCCATATTGTATAAATGACTGGAAAAAACTTGAGCCCCTGCCCCTGTATAATCATGTGCACGTCCCTGTTCTAGCTCCAAGGTGAATCTTCACTGCTCATGTTCTCCTCAGAAATAGTCACCTCACTCTCCTCAGGTTACTGTACACATGCACCAACTATCTGCTTCAGGTTTGGATGGAGCTTCATGGTTGTCTTTTGGAGAAATGAACAGTCAAGTTGTGTTTGAAATCTGATTTTTTTCAGGGGCAAAAGGAAGCCTCTGCATTCTTGTCAAATATGTAAACAGCATGTTTTTGCAGGTGCTAAAAAACAGACTCTGAGTGTGTGTGTGTGTGTGTGTGTGTGTGTGTGTGTGTGTGTGTGTGTGTGTGTGTATGTGTGTGTGTATCCTGCAGTACTCTGTACTCCTGCAGTGGCCAAAAAGACTTTTAAGAATGTGGATTTTTGGGTCATCTTTGGCGCCCCCTAGAACTGCAGTACTCTGTACTCCTGCAGTGGCCAAAATGACTTTTAAGAATGTGGATTTTTGGGTCATCTTTGGCGCCCCCTACAACGTAAACCGTGGGGTGCAGCGTCATGATTTTTACAACTTTGAATGGGCATGGGGTGTAGATTGGCCTGAGCAAATTTGGTATCGGTGGGACGAAAGCCTTAGGAGGAGATAGCCACATTCCAATGTGTGCGAATCAACCAAAAATGCGAAATAGCCCTTTAACCGTACATTTTGCAGACACGTGCGCATTGACTTTTTCGTAGATCTTATTGAGATACACGTGATTATCAAATTTTGTTTCAATATGACAAAGCGTACAGGCGTGACACTCAACAATGTGTATTTTCACCTTATAGGACAAGAAAAAATTGACTTTTTTCTCCTACCATGGGGGGCGCTCTTTTGGGGAGTAAAAATTCCTTCACAAATGTGTTGATGGCTGGACATTGCATCATCCTAGAAAACTTGGAGGCCAGTGAGGACAAAAATAAAAAGTTATAAGACTTGTAAGAATGTGGATTTTTGGGTTATCTTTGGCGCCCCCTACAACGTAAACCGTGGGGTGCAGCGTCATGATTTGTACAACTTTGAATGGCCATGGGGTGTAGATTGGCCTGAGCAAATTTGGTGCCGGTGGAACGAAAGCCTTCGGAGGAGTTAGCGAAATTCCAATGTGTGCGGATCGGCAAAAAATGCGAAATAGCCCTTTAAACGTACATTTGACAGATACGCCCGCACTGACTTTTTTGTAGATCTTATTGAGATACACGTGTGTGTCAAATTTTGTGTCATTTTGACAAAGTGTACAGGCGTGACACTCAATCATGTGAATTTTTCACCTTAGGGGGCGCTATGGAGCCATTTTGCATTTGATTGTTTGGGTGACTTCAGAATATCGAATTTTTCACCAGGCCCGGTCGTCCTGCCAAATTTCATGAGTTTTCACCAGTGGGAAGTGGGCCATTTTCCAGTTCAAAGGGGCAGAAAAATAATAAGAAGAAGAAGAAGAAACTAGGGCCCCGTTGGGGCACTGGCGGGCCCGAGCTGTGTCGCGCCGCCCCCAACACGACCGCCTCTCCCTCCCGATCGCGTCACACTCAAGGTCCAAAGATGGTGTGCACACTTGTCTGTGGTCATTTACCATTATAATGAATGGGAGGCGCAGTTTCTACCAAAACGCTCGCTGCAGACAAACTACATGTCCTATTTGAAAAAAGTCTGGACCATGAGTGAGGGCACAAACACAGCTAGGATATATCCAAATGGCAAGTTGCTCCTCCTTTCGGTTTTGCCGAGAGAGCGATGTGTTTGAGCCGTTGAGCGATGGGCAGGAAAAACTTGACTTTTTCTCCTGCCATAGGGGGGCACTCTTTTAGGGAGTAAAAATTCCTTCACAAATGTGTTGATGGCTGGACATTGCATCATCCTAGAAAACTTGGAGGCCAGTGAGGACAAAAATAAAAAGTTATAAGACTTTTAAATATGTGGATTTTAGGGTTATCTTTGGCGCCCCCTAGAACCTAAACCGTGGGGTGCAGCGTCATGATTTGAATAACTTTTAATGGCCATGGGGTGTAGATTGGCCTGAGCAAATGTGGTGCCGGTGGAACAAAAGCCTTCGGAGGAGTTAGCGAAATTCCAATGTGTACGGATCGCCAAAAAATGCGAAATAGCCCTTTAACCGTACATTTGACAGATACGCCCGCATTGACGTTTTCGTAGATATTATTGAGATACACCTGTGTGCCAAATTTTGTGTCATTTTGACAAAGTGTAGAGGCGTGACACTCAACAATGTGTATTTTCACCTTAGGGGACAAGAAAAAATGGACTTTTTTCTCCTGCCATGGGGGGGCGCTCTTTTGGGGAGTAAAAATTCCTTCACAAATGTGTTGATGGCTGGACATTGCATCATCCTAGAAAACTTGGAGGCCAGTGAGGACAAAAATAAAAAGTTATAAGACTTTGAAATATGTGGATTTTAGGGTTATCTTTGGCGCCCCCTAGAACCTAAACCGTGGGGTGCAGCGTCATGATTTGAATAACTTTTAATGGCCATGGGGTGTAGATTGGCCTGAGCAAATGTGGTGCCGGTGGAACAAAAGCCTTCAAAGGAGTTAGCGAAATTCCAATGTGTACGGATCGCCAAAAAATGCGAAATAGCCCTTTAACCGTACATTTGACAGATACGCCCGCACTGACTTTTTCGTAGATCTTATTGAGACACACCTGTGTGCCAAATTTTGTGTCATTTTGACAAAGTGTAGAGGCGTGACACTCAACAATGTGTATTTTCACCTTAGGGGACAAGAAAAAATGGACTTTTTTCTCCTGCCATGGGGGGGCGCTCTTTTGGGGAGTAAAAATTCCTTCACAAATGTGTTGATGGCTGGACATTGCATCATCCTAGAAAACTTGGAGGCCAGTGAGGACAAAAATAAAAAGTTATAAGACTTTGAAATATGTGGATTTTAGGGTTATCTTTGGCGCCCCCTAGAACCTAAACCGTGGGGTGCAGCGTCATGATTTGAATAACTTTTAATGGCCATGGGGTGTAGATTGGCCTGAGCAAATGTGGTGCCGGTGGAACAAAAGCCTTCGGAGGAGTTAGCGAAATTCCAATGTGTACGGATCTACAAAAAATGTGAAATAACCCTTTAACCGTACATTTGACAGATACGCCCGCACTGACTTTTTTGTAGATCTTATTGAGATACATATGTGTGTCAAATTTTGTGTCATTTTGACAAAGCGTACAGGCGTGACAGTCAATAGTGTGAATTTCCACCTTAGGGGGCGCTATGGAGCCATTTTGCATTTTATTGTTTGGGCGACTTCAGAATATCAAATTTTTCACCAGGCCCGGTCGTCCTGCCAAATTTCATGAGTTTTCGCCAGTGGGAAGTGGGCCATTTTCCAGTTTAAAGGGGAGGAAAAATAATAATAATAACAAAAGAAGGAAACATGCAGGAACAAGAGGGCTCTCGCAGCTGCTTAGCAGCTACGCTCGGGCCCTAATAACAAAAGAAGGAAACATGCAGGAACAAGAGGGCTCTCGCAGCTGCTTAGCAGCTACGCTCGGGCCCTAAAGAAAGAAACAAAGAAAAACCACTTGGGGAATAATAGGGCCTACGCCCGGCTGCTCTGCAGCTGGCTCGGGCCCTAAAAAGCTTACAGCACCTGGTATTCCCAGGCGGTCTCCCATCCAAGTACTAACCAGGCCCGACCCTGCTTAGCTTCCGAGATCGGACGAGATCGGGCGTGTTCAGGGTGGTATGGCCGTAACCAATGACACAGGCTCCAAATGAGCTATTTGAACGTGCTCCTGTGTGGTTCTCTCAATTATAATCAGCATTTCACTTTCAATGAACAATGCGTCGCTCAAGAAAACACCCGGATACGCAGTCAAGCTTAGTTTTACAGCCTATCTCTGCAGTCCATCATGCTCCACTCCTTTGCTCCGCTTCATGACAAGATCTCAGTCCTCCCGCTCTTTGTGCTTTTTTGACTCTTTCTTTCATTTATCTTGAAGGCTCATCTCCAAGTGTATTTGCATTGGTCCAAGCTAAAGACCAGGCTCCCCAAAGACCCATATCCTAGCCTCTTGGAGAGAGAACACGGCACAAGATACAAGAAAAGAAAAGCTTACAGCACCTGGTATTCCCAGGCGGTCTCCCATCCAAGTACTAACCAGGCCCGACCCTGCTTAGCTTCCGAGATCGGACGAGATCGGGCGTGTTCAGGGTGGTATGGCCGTAAGCGATGACACAGGCTCCAAATGAGCTATTTGAACGTGCTCCTGTGTGGTTCTCTCAATTAGAATCAGCATTTCACTTTCAATGAACAATGCGTCGCTCAAGAAAACACCCGGATACGCAGTCAAGCTTAGTTTTACAGCCTATCTCTGCAGTCCATCATGCTCCACTCCTTTGCTCCGCTTCATGACAAGATCTCAGTCCTCCCGCTCTTTGTGCTTTTTTGACTCTTTCTTTCATTTATCTTGAAGGCTCATCTCCAAGTGTATTTGCATTGGTCCAAGCTAAAGACCAGGCTCCCCAAAGACCCATATCCTAGCCTCTTGGAGAGAGAACACGGCACAAGATACAAGAAAAGAAAAGCTTACAGCACCTGGTATTCCCAGGCGGTCTCCCATCCAAGTACTAACCAGGCCCGACCCTGCTTAGCTTCCGAGATCGGACGAGATCGGGCGTGTTAAGGGTGGTATGGACGTAAGCGATGACACAGGCTCCAAATGAGCTATTTCAACGTGCTCCTGTGTGGTTCTCTCAATTATAATCAGCATTTCACTTTCAATGAACAATGCGTCGCTCAAGAAAACACCCGGATACGCAGTCAAGCTTAGTTTTACAGCCTATCTCTGCAGTCCATCATGCTCCACTCCTTTGCTCCGCTTCATGACAAGATCTCAGTCCTCCCGCTCTTTGTGCTTTTTTGACTCTTTCTTTCATTTATCTTGAAGGCTCATCTCCAAGTGTATTTGCATTGGTCCAAGCTAAAGACCAGGCTCCCCAAAGACCCATATCCTAGCCTCTTGGAGAGAGAACACGGCACAAGATACAAGAAAAGAAAAGCTTACAGCACCTGGTATTCCCAGGCGGTCTCCCATCCAAGTACTAACCAGGCCCGACCCTGCTTAGCTTCCGAGATCGGACGAGATCGGGCGTGTTCAGGGTGGTATGGCCGTAAGCGATGACACAGGCTCCAAATGAGCTATTTCAACGTGCTCCTGTGTGGTTCTCTCAATTATAATCAGCATTTCACTTTCAATGAACAATGCGTCGCTCAAGAAAACACCCGGATACGCAGTCAAGCTTAGTTTTACAGCCTATCTCTGCAGTCCATCATGCACCACTCCTTTGCTCCGCTTCATGACAAGATCTCAGTCCTCCCGCTCTTTGTGCTTTTTTGACTCTTTCTTTCATTTATCTTGAAGGCTCATCTCCAAGTGTATTTGCATTGGTCCAAGCTAAAGACCAGGCTCCCCAAAGACCCATATCCTAGCCTCTTGGAGAGAGAACACGGCACAAGATACAAGAAAAGAAAAGCTTACAGCACCTGGTATTCCCAGGCGGTCTCCCATCCAAGTACTAACCAGGCCCGACCCTGCTTAGCTTCCGAGATCGGACGAGATCGGGCGTGTTCAGGGTGGTATGGCCGTAAGCGATGACACAGGCTCCAAATGAGCTATTTGAACGTGCTCCTGTGTGGTTCTCTCAATTATAATCAGCATTTCACTTTCAATGAACAATGCGTCGCTCAAGAAAACACCCGGATACGCAGTCAAGCTTAGTTTTACAGCCTATCTCTGCAGTCCATCATGCTCCACTCCTTTGCTCCGCTTCATGACAAGATCTCAGTCCTCCCGCTCTTTGTGCTTTTTTGACTTTTTCTTTCATTTATCTTGAAGGCTCATCTCCAAGTGTATTTGCATTGGTCCAAGCTAAAGACCAGGCTCCCCAAAGACCCATATCCTAGCCTCTTGGAGAGAGAACACGGCACAAGATACAAGAAAAGAAAAGCTTACAGCACCTGGTATTCCCAGGCGGTCTCCCATCCAAGTACTAACCAGGCCCTACCCTGCTTAGCTTCCGAGATCGGACGAGATCGGGCGTGTTCAGGGTGGTATGGCCGTAAGCGATGACACAGGCTCCAAATGAGCTATTTGAACGTGCTCCTGTGTGGTTCTCTCAATTATAATCAGCATTTCACTTTCAATGAACAATGCGTCGCTCAAGAAAACACCCGGATACGCAGTCAAGCTTAGTTTTACAGCCTATCTCTGCAGTCCATCATGCTCCACTCCTTTGCTCCGCTTCATGACAAGATCTCAGTCCTCCCGCTCTTTGTGCTTTTTTGACTCTTTCTTTCATTTATCTTGAAGGCTCATCTCCAAGTGTGTTTGCATTGGTCCAAGCTAAAGACCAGGCTCCCCAAAGACCCATATCCTAGCCTCTTGGAGAGAGAACACGGCACAAGATACAAGAAAAGAAAAGCTTACAGCACCTGGTATTCCCAGGCGGTCTCCCATCCAAGTACTAACCAGGCACAACCTTGCTTAGCTTCCGAGATCGGACGAGATCGGGCGTGTTCAGGGTGGTATGGCCGTAAGCGATGACACAGGCTCCAAATGAGCTATTTGAACGTGCTCCTGTGTGGTTCTCTCAATTAGAATCAGCATTTCACTTTCAATGAACAATGCGTCGCTCAAGAAAACACCCGGATACGCAGTCAAGCTTAGTTTTACAGCCTATCTCTGCAGTCCATCATGCTCCACTCCTTTGCTCCGCTTCATGACAAGATCTCAGTCCTCCCGCTCTTTGTGCTTTTTTGACTTTTTCTTTCATTTATCTTGAAGGCTCATCTCCAAGTGTATTTGCATTGGTCCAAGCTAAAGACCAGGCTCCCCAAAGACCCATATCCTAGCCTCTTGGAGAGAGAACACGGCACAAGATACAAGAAAAGAAAAGCTTACAGCACCTGGTATTCCCAGGCGGTCTCCCATCCAAGTACTAACCAGGCCCGACCCTGCTTAGCTTCCGAGATCGGACGAGATCGGGCGTGTTCAGGGAGGTATGGCCGTAAGCGATGACACAGGCTACAAATGAGCTATTTGAACGTGCTCCTGTGTGGTTCTCTCAATTATAATCAGCATTTCACTTTCAATGAACAATGCGTCGCTCAAGAAAACACCCGGATACGCAGTCAAGCTCAGTTTTACAGCCTATCTCTGCAGTCCATCATGCTCCACTCCTTTGCTCCGCTTCATGACAAGATCTCAGTCCTCCCGCTCTTTGTGCTTTTTTGACTCTTTCTTTCATTTATCTTGAAGGCTCATCTCCAAGTGTATTTGCATTGGTCCAAGCTAAAGACCAGGCTCCCCAAAGACCCATATCCTAGCCTCTTGGAGAGAGAACACGGCACAAGATACAAGAAAAGAAAAGCTTACAGCACCTGGTATTCCCAGGCGGTCTCCCATCCAAGTACTAACCAGGCCCGACCCTGCTTAGCTTCCGAGATCGGACGAGATCGGGCGTGTTCAGGGTGGTATGGCCGTAAGCGATGACACAGGCTCCAAATGAGCTATTTGAACGTGCTCCTGTGTGGTTCTCTCAATTATAATCAGCATTTCACTTTCAATGAACAATGCGTCGCTCAAGAAAACACCCGGATACGCAGTCAAGCTTAGTTTTACAGCCTATCTCTGCAGTCCATCATGCTCCACTCCTTTGCTCCGCTTCATGACAAGATCTCAGTCCTCCCGCTCTTTGTGCTTTTTTGACTCTTTCTTTCATTTATCTTGAAGGCTCATCTCCAAGTGTATTTGCATTGGTCCAAGCTAAAGACCAGGCTCCCCAAAGACCCATATCCTAGCCTCTTGGAGAGAGAACACGGCACAAGATACAAGAAAAGAAAAGCTTACAGCACCTGGTATTCCCAGGCGGTCTCCCATCCAAGTACTAACCAGGCCCGACCCTGCTTAGCTTCCGAGATCGGACGAGATCGGGCGTGTTCAGGGTGGTATGGCCGTAAGCAATGACACAGGCTCCAAATGAGCTATTTCAACGTGCTCCTGTGTGGTTCTCTCAATTATAATCAGCATTTCACTTTCAATGAACAATGCGTCGCTCAAGAAAACACCCGGATACGCAGTCAAGCTTAGTTTTACAGCCTATCTCTGCAGTCCATCATGCTCCACTCCTTTGCTCCGCTTCATGACAAGATCTCAGTCCTCCCGCTCTTTGTGCTTTTTTGACTCTTTCTTTCATTTATCTTGAAGGCTCATCTCCAAGTGTATTTGCATTGGTCCAAGCTAAAGACCAGGCTCCCCAAAGACCCATATCCTAGCCTCTTGGAGAGAGAACACGGCACAAGATACAAGAAAAGAAAAGCTTACAGCACCTGGTATTCCCAGGCGGTCTCCCATCCAAGTACTAACCAGGCCCGACCCTGCTTAGCTTCCGAGATCGGACGAGATCGGGCGTGTTCAGGGTGGTATGGCCGTAAGCGATGACACAGGCTCCAAATGAGCTATTTGAACGTGCTCCTGTGTGGTTCTCTCAATTATAATCAGCATTTCACTTTCAATGAACAATGCGTCGCTCAAGAAAACACCCGGATACGCAGTCAAGCTTAGTTTTACAGCCTATCTCTGCAGTCCATCATGCTCCACTCCTTTGCTCCGCTTCATGACAAGATCTCAGTCCTCCCGCTCTTTGTGCTTTTTTGACTCTTTCTTTCATTTATCTTGAAGGCTCATCTCCAAGTGTATTTGCATTGGTCCAAGCTAAAGACCAGGCTCCCCAAAGACCCATATCCTAGCCTCTTGGAGAGAGAACACGGCACAAGATACAAGAAAAGAAAAGCTTACAGCACCTGGTATTCCCAGGCGGTCTCCCATCCAAGTACTAACCAGGCCCGACCCTGCTTAGCTTCCGAGATCGGACGAGATCGGGCGTGTTAAGGGTGGTATGGACGTAAGCGATGACACAGGCTCCAAATGAGCTATTTCAACGTGCTCCTGTGTGGTTCTCTCAATTATAATCAGCATTTCACTTTCAATGAACAATGCGTCGCTCAAGAAAACACCCGGATACGCAGTCAAGCTTAGTTTTACAGCCTATCTCTGCAGTCCATCATGCTCCACTCCTTTGCTCCGCTTCATGACAAGATCTCAGTCCTCCCGCTCTTTGTGCTTTTTTGACTTTTTCTATCATTTATCTTGAAGGCTCATCTCCAAGTGTATTTGCATTGGTCCAAGCTAAAGACCAGGCTCCCCAAAGACCCATATCCTAAACCTCTTGGAGAGAGAACACGGCACAAGATACAAGAAAAGAAAAGCTTACAGCACCTGGTATTCCCAGGCGGTCTCCCATCCAAGTACTAACCAGGCCCGACCCTGCTTAGCTTCCGAGATCGGACGAGATCGGGCGTGTTCAGGGTGGTATGGCCGTAAGCGATGACACAGGCTCCAAATGAGCTATTTCAACGTGCTCCTGTGTGGTTCTCTCAATTATAATCAGCATTTCACTTTCAATGAACAATGCGTCGCTCAAGAAAACACCCGGATACGCAGTCAAGCTTAGTTTTACAGCCTATCTCTGCAGTCCATCATGCACCACTCCTTTGCTCCGCTTCATGACAAGATCTCAGTCCTCCCGCTCTTTGTGCTTTTTTGACTCTTTCTTTCATTTATCTTGAAGGCTCATCTCCAAGTGTATTTGCATTGGTCCAAGCTAAAGACCAGGCTCCCCAAAGACCCATATCCTAGCCTCTTGGAGAGAGAACACGGCACAAGATACAAGAAAAGAAAAGCTTACAGCACCTGGTATTCCCAGGCGGTCTCCCATCCAAGTACTAACCAGGCCCGACCCTGCTTAGCTTCCGAGATCGGACGAGATCGGGCGTGTTCAGGGTGGTATGGCCGTAAGCGATGACACAGGCTCCAAATGAGCTATTTGAACGTGCTCCTGTGTGGTTCTCTCAATTAGAATCAGCATTTCACTTTCAATGAACAATGCGTCGCTCAAGAAAACACCCGGATACGCAGTCAAGCTTAGTTTTACAGCCTATCTCTGCAGTCCATCATGCTCCACTCCTTTGCTCCGCTTCATGACAAGATCTCAGTCCTCCCGCTCTTTGTGCTTTTTTGACTCTTTCTTTCATTTATCTTGAAGGCTCATCTCCAAGTGTATTTGCATTGGTCCAAGCTAAAGACCAGGCTCCCCAAAGACCCATATCCTAGCCTCTTGGAGAGAGAACACGGCACAAGATACAAGAAAAGAAAAGCTTACAGCACCTGGTATTCCCAGGCGGTCTCCCATCCAAGTACTAACCAGGCCCGACCCTGCTTAGCTTCCGAGATCGGACGAGATCGGGCGTGTTTTTTTTTTTTTTTTTATCTTTTATTATCAAAAATATATTCACAAAATTCCATCTTTACAAATCACAGTCACAGTCAACAATAAAAATAAAATAAACAACATAATAGAAAAAACCTTTGGAAAAAAGAAACAACATAAATTATAAGAACCCAAACAATCTGCAAATTAAAAAAAATCTTCATAAATTAAGTGTGATATTGTTTTGATGTACTGTAAAAAGAGTGTGTCCAGTGTTCAAAAGCTGATTGAAAGTGTCCGGGATGGCGAAGAAGCAGTTTTTCAGATGGTTCAGAAATAGGGTTTTGAAAAAAGGAAGCAGTGACAGAGTCCGGTTTTCGTATAAAGCATAGTTCCTGACAGTCCAGACTGAAAATCTTGTGTAGCTGAGGATGGTGTTGATAATGTGAGTATGCTGATGTGCAGAATTCTTTTTTAGTCCGAATAGAAAAAGCAAAGTCCATTCCGTGTCACTTCCACAGTGGAAATTGCAGGCGCTCTGTATTGTCCGCCGTATTGTGGAGTAGAAGGCTCTTACAAGACTACAATCCAAGAAGAGGTGCTCCAAATCTTCATCCTGTTCATTGCATTTTTTACATTTTCTTTCGTATTTTCCCTTGTTGATTTGATGCAGAACGATGCCTGTGAAAATCCTCCTGTGCTTAATTTTGAAATCTAGATGTTGTAGCGTTGGGGGAGTGAAGAGACCTCCCCCACTGGTCCATATTGATTTGGTGTTAAAACCCGGAAAGATTTGAGCCCAGATCTTTTCGGTAGTTGGAGTTCTTTTGATTTCGGCTATGAGGAGTTTGTACCATGCTTTTGTTTTAATCTCTTGCACTGGGACCGGGTTATTGTTTTGGCACAGGAGGAAATTCAAGTCATCGTTCTGCATCGAGATGTCTTTTGTCTGCATTATTCTTTCCCAAAACAGAGTTACTGTATTTTTTATTTTTTCCGTAATTGACCTTATGCTGCATTTTCTGAAATTAATATTTTTGTTTTTTAGCACACCAAAAATAAAATCTAGTTTGACGCTAAAGTCATCATTCATTATATCTCTGATCCACAACAGACCAGCCTCCATCAGGTGTGAACTCGTTATTGTTTTCCCCTTATGCAAAAAACAAGGGTTTTTAAGGAAGGGTAATCGAAACACATCCTCTTTATTCCTGCATATCGGCATGAGGTGGGGCAGCAATTTGCCCCATGCCTCAACAATCTCCCGGTAGAACGGCTTAAGCTCACCAACTACCTTCTCCGGGTGAAGTATACACAGATTGCGTACGTCCCTCAGCCCGAAGTTGGACAATTGGCTTGCCAGCGCGTCCTCCCAGGGATAGTGCCTGTTTGGATCTAGAAATTTACTAATTAATTTTGCCCTGAGCGCATCTTTTTTGGCTCCAATATCAATCTGCCCTAAACCCCCCTCCCTTTTGTTAGCAATTAGCACTCTGTGAGCGATCAGATTTCCCTTTCCTCTCCACAAAAAGGAGGATATTACACTATTGAGTGAATTTAGCGCCCAATGCGGCAACTCACAGACCCCCATTATATGGTTGATTTTGGACAGTACTAGTGCATTTGTTACAATTACCCTTCCTTTTAGTGTTAAACCTCTGGCTTTCCAGAGATTGAGAATATTTTTTGTTTTGGTAATCACTATTTCCCAGTTGGTTCTTGTTGCTTCATTTTCGTTTTTCCCAACATAAACACCCAGGATTCTTTTTGGTTTGTTTACTTCTGCAAAGTTCCATTTATTTACGCTGTCAACATTTGATCCACAAAACATAATCTCGCTCTTTTCCAGGTTCATTTTCGCTCCAGCTACCTTCTCGTAATCATGAATGTGTTTCAAAACCTTATCGATACTATGGCTGTCTAAAACCATGATGTTTATGTCGTCTGCATACTGGGTTATTTTTGTTGTTCTGTTGTAACCTGTTGGTATTCCTTTAATGTCTTTGTCCTGTAGGATATGAAGAGCTAAGGGTTCTGCTACTATTGAATAGAGTAGTGCTGATAGTGGGCAACCTTGTCTAACTGATCTGTTTATTGTGAAAAATTCTGTGAGGAAACCATTGACCTTAATACAGCTTTTTGCATTATTGTAAAGAAGTTTTATCCAGTTGATGAATTTTGAACCGAAACCAAAAGCCTGTAGAATATTGAAAAGAAAAGTGTGATCAACTCTGTCAAACGCTTTTTCAAGATCTATACTGAGCAGAAACCCTTTGTCTTTCTGCATGTTATGTATTGTTTCTTTTATGGTCAATATGGAATCACTGATGTCTCTTCCTGGTATGCTGTAAGATTGTGTACTATTTATGATGGAACCCGAAACCTGTTTTAGTCTATTTGCTAGAATTTTTGTTAGGATTTTGTAATCAGTATTCAGTAGACTGATGGGGCGGTAATTTTTGATAAGTTTATTGTCACCTTTTTTGAAAATTAGCGAGATTATTCCTTCGGTTAGCGTTGCAGGCACTCTTTTGTTATCCAACATATCTCTGTAAAGTTTATTCAGGAGCGGTGTAAGCTCCTCTTGGAACTTCACATAGAACTCTGCAGTCAGTCCATCTGAACCTGGACTTTTATTTTTGTTTAGCGCCTGTATGGCGTTTTTTATTTCTTCTTCAGTAATTTCTGAATCACACCAGTCTTTATCTTGTCTTTCAAGTTTTTTATTTATACATTTTATATATTCCGGTATTTCTTTTTCTTTTAAGTCCTTCTGTTTGGAGAAAAGCTGTTTGTAAAATTGATATGTATGGTCTAAGATTTCATCAGTTTCAAACAGCGTTTGTCCTTTATTGTCTGTTAGTTGATTGATGTATGATTTGTTCTGTTTCTTTTTTTCCAAGCCGAGAAAAAAAGAAGTGCATTTTTCACCTTCTGTTGTATATTTCACTTTGCTTCTAATGATTGCCCCTTTGCACTTCTTTATTTCTATGTTTCTTAATTGTTCTTTGTAAATTTCATATTGCTCACATGATCTGTGTATGTCAGTTTTTAGCAGTATATATCATCTGCTAAAAATTTTTTTAATTTTATTTCTTCTCTGGTTTCAAACCATTTTTTCCTCTTGCTGTAGTTTATGCAGGTTTTTTTTATTCTGTTTTTTATGTCATCCCATGAATCGGTTATGTTCTCTTTTTCAACTGTTTCAGCTTTGATGTTTTCCAATAAATTTTTTATTTTATATATTAAAGCTTTGTCATTTAGGATGCTGGAGTTTAGACACCATATGCCAGCTCCTCTAGTTTTATTATCTATGCCTTGTTCCCATTGTAAAATATCGTGATCACTCCATACATTAGGTTTATACTGTATATTGTTAATTTCTTGAATAGTGTTTTTTGCAGCTAGTAAAAGATCAATCCTTGATTGTTTTAGTTTTCCTAGTACTGTCTGTTTTCTGGAGAAGTGGGTGCTATTTGTATTGTTAATTCTCCATAAATCCACCAGGTTGTGCTCTTGCATTATTTTCAGTAATTGTGTTCTGCTTGTGTCATTTCTGAATTTATTGTTTGATGATAAGTCTATTTTGTTCAGCACTATGTTGAAATCCCCTACTATTATTGTATTATCATTTATCCATTTTACTATTTCTTTGAGTTGAAATAATCTCTCCCTTTCGTTGTTTTCACCATGAAAGTTTATAATTCTATATGTTTTATTTCTATACAAGATATCTATAATTAAAATTTTACCTCTTTTGTCTTTATAAATCTCTTTACTATGTTCTAGTAAGTTATTATTTATCATAACAGCTACCCCCCTGCTTTCCCCACCCCAAACCCCACAAAGATCTTCCCACAGTAAAGTTTTTGTATTTGAAGAAGGGTTTGAGGTGACCAGCCGGTTTCCTGTAGACAAATAATGTCTTGTTGAGTTGAGTTGAAAAAAGAGACCATTTTATGTGAGGAGCAGAGACCATTAATGTTGAGGGAGATAGCTGTGAACATTATAAGAAAGGAGAAGAGTGGTCTATAAATCATTCCTATTAATCTGAGAAGTCGAAATTTGGACTCAATCTAGGTCAGTCAATTTTCCTTCTCCATGTTTTTTCCTGTCCTTTTTTTTCTTCCTAATTTCCACCACTTTACCATCTAAATCCGATTCCGATTCTGTCAGAGATGATGTGGGCTTCAGCTTTTCACACGGGCCGAGGTTTTCCCTTCCCGGCCCCACCGGCTGCGCTCTGCTGCCTGTCTTTGCCGCTTTTTTTCGCGGTGGCAGAAACTCAATACCCTCTGCAAGGGCTGAAGGGGCTTCGGGGGTCTCCGGCGTAGCACGCGCTCTCAGAGCCCCGTCCGTCTCCCTCCCTCGCACATTTTTCTGTGCGGCTCTTGAGCTTGGACTCGGCTCGAAACCCTCACTTTGGGACCCACGAGCCTGGAGTTCCTCCTCCATGTCCACAGAGCTTTCAGCCACAATTACGCACGTCTCATCTGCCCCGTTTCCCTCACTTTCGACGCCACTCATGTGATCATCGTTAGTGGGAGAGCACTGTTGTTGTTCCCCACCCTCGCTCTCAGAATTTCTGCAAATGCATCTCCCCATGTCATTAAAACAAATTGTGCACTTGACTGGTGCGTTTGCACACTCCCGTGCGTAATGGCCCTGCTCCCCACATTTATGACATATAAACTCTGGGCATTCTCTGAAAATATGGCCCGGTTGTATGCATAATCTGCATACTTTCACCTGTCTGTCATGTATGACCCTAAAAAATTCAGCACCTGTTGCAGTATTAAATTTTGCCGAGTAAGGCAGTGACTGGATGTCTTTTGTGAATTTTACCTTACAGTATCTTGTACCGTCGGCGATGTTTGTGCCGGGCCACATTCTCCTTTTTATCGGGGATACAGCTGAAACTCCCCACATTTGTAGTTTGTTCTGAATGTCCGCGTCCGGGATGTAAGCAGGCAGGTTCAAAAAAGAGACCACCAGCTCGTCATTTGAAAGCTCCCTCGCCCACACATTCACAGCTCCAATCTTTAGACCCTCCATCAGTCTCTCTTTTCCTTTCCCATGGTTCATCGTGACTTCGTATTTCCTCTCCCCGACATATCTGCATGCCACCACCGCTCCACACGCCAGCCTCACCGCCCTCAGAAGTTCCGTCACCGTCACTTTCTCTTGTCCCTCCAGCTCCAGCATCACTGTCAACTCCTTTCTATAATTCAATTGTAGATCGTCATTCTTCTTTTCTTTCTCCATATTCCTTTTTCCATCTCTTAAACTGTCCGTAGTCGAAACCGTGGGAATTTCTCTGCCGTTTTCCGTGTCTTTTACCATTTTGTCCATCTTGTGAGACAGCATTTGTGTGCCGCAGCACACTGAACGCCACGTCACCAAACAAAAAGAGGATCAAAACTCCTCACCCCCAGGCAGTAGAAAACCCCTGCCAGGGGTACAAAACAAAAAAAGATACAAAATACCTACCACTATCTACGATCAAATATCTAACTTACCTAAAAAAAACTTTTTTCACTTCTTTCCTCACAATCTCTCTGACTCAAAACTACCGTGTGCATGCACCAAAAAAATGGGCGTGTTCAGGGTGGTATGGCCGTAAGCGATGACACAGGCTCCAAATGAGCTATTTCAACGTGCTCCTGTGTGGTTCTCTCAATTATAATCAGCATTTCACTTTCAATGAACAATGCGTCGCTCAAGAAAACACCCGGATACGCAGTCAAGCTTAGTTTTACAGCCTATCTCTGCAGTCCATCATGCTCCACTCCTTTGCTCCGCTTCATGACAAGATCTCAGTCCTCCCGCTCTTTGTGCTTTTTTGACTCTTTCTTTCATTTATCTTGAAGGCTCATCTCCAAGTGTATTTGCATTGGTCCAAGCTAAAGACCAGGCTCCCCAAAGACCCATATCCTAGCCTCTTGGAGAGAGAACACGGCACAAGATACAAGAAAAGAAAAGCTTACAGCACCTGGTATTCCCAGGCGGTCTCCCATCCAAGTACTAACCAGGCCCGACCCTGCTTAGCTTCCGAGATCGGACGAGATCGGGCGTGTTCAGGGTGGTATGGCCGTAAGCGATGACACAGGCTCCAAATGAGCTATTTGAACGTGCTCCTGTGTGGTTCTCTCAATTAGAATCAGCATTTCACTTTCAATGAACAATGCGTCGCTCAAGAAAACACCCGGATACGCAGTCAAGCTTAGTTTTACAGCCTATCTCTGCAGTCCATCATGCTCCACTCCTTTGCTCCGCTTCATGACAAGATCTCAGTCCTCCCGCTCTTTGTGCTTTTTTGACTCTTTCTTTCATTTATCTTGAAGGCTCATCTCCAAGTGTATTTGCATTGGTCCAAGCTAAAGACCAGGCTCCCCAAAGACCCATATCCTAGCCTCTTGGAGAGAGAACACGGCACAAGATACAAGAAAAGAAAAGCTTACAGCACCTGGTATTCCCAGGCGGTCTCCCATCCAAGTACTAACCAGGCCCTACCCTGCTTAGCTTCCGAGATCGGACGAGATCGGGCGTGTTCAGGGTGGTATGGCCGTAAGCGATGACACAGGCTCCAAATGAGCTATTTGAACGTGCTCCTGTGTGGTTCTCTCAATTATAATCAGCATTTCACTTTCAATGAACAATGCGTCGCTCAAGAAAACACCCGGATACGCAGTCAAGCTTAGTTTTACAGCCTATCTCTGCAGTCCATCATGCTCCACTCCTTTGCTCCGCTTCATGACAAGATCTCAGTCCTCCCGCTCTTTGTGCTTTTTTGACTCTTTCTTTCATTTATCTTGAAGGCTCATCTCCAAGTGTGTTTGCATTGGTCCAAGCTAAAGACCAGGCTCCCCAAAGACCCATATCCTAGCCTCTTGGAGAGAGAACACGGCACAAGATACAAGAAAAGAAAAGCTTACAGCACCTGGTATTCCCAGGCGGTCTCCCATCCAAGTACTAACCAGGCCCGACCCTGCTTAGCTTCCGAGATCGGACGAGATCGGGCGTGTTCAGGGTGGTATGGCCGTAAGCGATGACACATGCTCCAAATGAGCTATTTGAACGTGCTCCTGTGTGGTTCTCTCAATTATAATCAGCATTTCACTTTCAATGAACAATGCGTCGCTCAAGAAAACACCCGGATACGCAGTCAAGCTTAGTTTTACAGCCTATCTCTGCAGTCCATCATGCTCCACTCCTTTGCTCCGCTTCATGACAAGATCTCAGTCCTCCCGCTCTTTGTGCTTTTTTGACTCTTTCTTTCATTTATCTTGAAGGCTCATCTCCAAGTGTATTTGCATTGGTCCAAGCTAAAGACCAGGCTCCCCAAAGACCCATATCCTAGCCTCTTGGAGAGAGAACACGGCACAAGATACAAGAAAAGAAAAGCTTACAGCACCTGGTATTACCAGGCGGTCTCCCATCCAAGTACTAACCAGGCCCGACCCTGCTTAGCTTCCGAGATCGGACGAGATCGGGCGTGTTCAGGGTGGTATGGCCGTAAGCGATGACACAGGCTCCAAATGAGCTATTTGAACGTGCTCCTGTGTGGTTCTCTCAATTATAATCAGCATTTCACTTTCAATGAACAATGCGTCGCTCAAGAAAACACCCGGATACGCAGTCAAGCTTAGTTTTACAGCCTATCTCTGCAGAGGCTTCCGGTTGGCAGCAGGCAGGCGAGCATGATACCGTGAATGCTCCTCACAAATCTCCACAAATGTCTCTAAAAGTTAAGTTTAAACGAGAATCTATGTAGGCTTAAAATAACACGTATATGTGGGATGAATCTGCGATCTGGTGCGGCCACTAAAGTCAATATTGCCAAAAAGAAAACAAAGAAGAAAGACGCGACAAACATTTCAAACAAAGAAATGGCGACGGGTAGCCTCGAAGCTACGATCCAAACAATGATGCAGGAGCTCAAAGGAGAGATCAAAGGGCTCAAAGAAGATCTTATCAAACAAATTGGGAGCCTCAGAACGGACGTCGAGTCTTTCGCGACCGAGATTAAACAAGTTCAAAAGGACGTAAAAGAAGTCCGGGCAGAGATGGGAAATGCGGTGGACAAGATCGCAGAAGCCGAGGAAAGAATCAACCAGTTGGAGGAAGGAGAGGTGACTATAAACAACGCACTTAAACACCTCCTACGGGAACATAAGAAGATAAATCAAAGCCTGGAGTATCAAGAACAAAAATCAAGGCAATTTAACGCCCGAATTTTTCAAGTAATTGAAGGAATAGAACAACAGGATATGGTGGGTTTCGTTAAATCAATACTGGTGGAACAGTTGAAGATACCAGCCGACACATTCCACATCTGTGCAGCCCACCGCTCCCTCGCCAAAAAGCCGACGGGAGAAGATGCAGCACCTCGGTCTATTGTTGTCCGCTTTCTGTCGTGGAACACCCGAGAGAAAGTGGTAAAAACAGCGTGGGCGAAAAAAGACATTACAGCTGGAGGTAAACGCATTTATTTTGACAGAGACCTACCTGAAAAGGTACAGAAAGAGAGACGCAGATATGCCCCACTAAGACTACAACTGAAAGAAAAAAAGATTAAGTCCTTCATAATACACCCGGCGAAACTGAAGGTCTTCGAAGAGGAAGGATCGTTCATTATTTACAACACACCGGAGGATGCGGAGACGCAACTACGGGCCAAGGGATTAATCTCCACAGAGCCGTGCGTCGGAGCGCACCGTGGCAAGCATGGCACACTGCGCAAAGAAGGAGCACAATCGGCACCTTTCCAGAGGAGCGGCGGAGATGAAGAGACTTTGGAGACCCTACTAGAAGACGCTATGAGGGGACTGTAAAAGGACTTGAAGTTATAGTGAACGGTGGCCTTATGCTCATCTCAGGATGCGTAATGGAGAGGTAAACACACTCTTTCTCCTAAGTGGAGCAACACAGGAATGGGAGGACAGTACCCAGCCACTAGACTTGTATGGTTTGAAAGTTAATGACTGAATTTAGCCTAGAATACAGGACTCTTTTTCTTTCTCCACTTTATTCTCATTAGCGGGTTTTAAGCCTACTCTATACTTGCCCCATGCTTTTTCTGTTTTAATGGGACTTAAATACGCCTGATTTCAATCAAGCATGGGGTCTCAGTTTCCCTCTCTTTTCTTTTCATCTTCTTTTTTTTTCATTTAAGTTATGCCATATCTAATTTTTATTTATCATGAATGATCCCTAAACGAACTGGGAATTATAGGGGTGGGGGGTGCTTAGGAGGGGGAAAATGCTTTGGAAAGAAGAAAAGAAAAGGAAAAGTATTTATGCTGGGGTACTTTTTTTTTTTTTAGGTTCGGTTTAATACTCTACTCCAAGTGTGTGAATAACTAAAAAAAAGTATTTATTTTGGGGTATTTCTTTTTATTATTATTATTATTTTCTGCTTAGGAAGGGGGAAAATGCTTTGGAAAGAAGAAAAGAAAAGGAAAAGTATTTATGTTGGGGTACTTTTTTTTTTTTTTTTTTTTTTTTTTTAGGTTCTGTTTAATACTCCACCTCAACTGTGTGAATAATTTAGTTAAAGAGACGGAGGAGGGACATACGCCTGTACGCAGCCCACCATGCAAATATGGGCTCTGTTAAAGCTCATATTGGCCTCATGGGTTACCATGGGGCAGGAGTCTTTCTATGAAAGCTCCCTATTTCACATAACAATATTAATGTGGAATATCTCTTGTAACCATAGAGAGGTTACAGACCCTGGAAGTGCACATCTGGGTCCTTTGTTTGTGTGTGTTATGTTTTCGATACGTGCGTTATTTTTTCAGTTTATAGGCTTTGAATATGAAGCAGCTGGTATCCAAGAGAAGAATAATGGGAAAACTTTAACTAATTTCCTTGAATACAAATGGTTTAAATAATCCAATAAAAAGGAAGAGAGTATTTCAAAAACTTAAAAAGGAAGGAGGGGAAATTATTTTTCTACAGGAAACACATCTTAATAAAGTGGAACACGTAAAACTGGAGAAATTGGCAACCAGCCAAGTTTTCGCCTCCTCCTTTACATCGGCTAAAAGGGGTGTGGCAGTCCTAATTAAAAATAATCTTATGTTTAATAGTGAAAAATGTATTAAAGACAAGGAAGGGAGGTACGTTCTGGTAATTGGTCAAATAGAAGAACAATACATAACCCTCGTCAATGTTTATAACCCACCTGGACAAGGAACAGATTTAATGAAAAAAATCCTAACATTATTAATGACAGAAGGGAAGGGTATGACCATAATGGGGGGAGATTTTAATTTAATTATGAATCAAAAGGACACACAGAGCAAAATAAAACATAAAGCAGAACAAGCTGCAATGTTAATGAAGAAAGCCCAAATCGAGTTGGGGCTAGTAGATGTATGGCGCTGCTTACACCCCCAGGAAAAGGCTTTCACTTTTTTCTCTGGTGCTCATGACGTCTACTCAAGATTAGACTATTTTTTTATTTTTAAGAATGAGATTTCAAAGGTCATAAAATGTGAAATATTACCCATAGCAATAACAGATCATGCACCAGTTATAATGGAAATAAACCTGAAAAGGGAACAAGGGGAAACATTATGGAGGTTAAATAACTCACTGCTGGAGGATCAGAGTTTCAAAGAGTGAAGATGGAACAAAGTGTGAAGTCTTTTTTGAGATAAATGATAAGGAAGTGACACCTATTATTCTATGGGAAGCGGCAAAAGCAACTATAAGGGGTGAAATAATAGCATACTCATCTCATCAAAAGAGGAAAAGGGAAAGAGAAAAAAAATTTTTGGAAAATGAAATAAAAAGACTTCAGGAACAGCATGAAAGAAACTTGAACAAAGAAACATACAGACAACTGAAAACAGCGAAAAAAGCTTTAGACACTATAGAAATACATGAAATTGAAAAGGACCTTATGCTGTGTAGGCAGACTTATTACGATAACAGTCCAAAAGCATTAAAAATATTAGCAACCAAATTAAAGAAACAAAAAGAAAAAAGTGCAATAGTAACTATTAAGGATGGAAATGACGAGCCCCAGAGAGGTAAATCAAATATAGCAGCATGTTTCAGAGACTATTATCAAACCCTTTATACTCCAGAACAAGCAGATGTGAGCATGCAAAATATTAAAGAGTATCTAACACCTCTAAACCTTCCTGTAGTAACAGATACACAAAATAAAGATTTAGTTAAACCAATAACAGAAGCCGAAATTACAAAGGTTATACAGAAAAGCAAAACTGGGAAAAGCCCTGGAAGTGATGGCTTTACAAATGAATTTTTTAAGTGTTTTAGAGTTTTGTTATTACCTATCCTTGGCAGGGTCTTTAATTACATTTTAGAAACAGGAGTGTGGCCAGACACCTGGAATTCTGCAATTATTACTGTAATACCAAAAGAAGGAAAAGATTTGACAAATTGCTCATCCTACAGACCGATATCTCTTTTAAATGTTGATCAAAAGATATTCACATCAATCATAGCCAATAGACTCTCACACATACTCCCAGATATAATTAATTCAGATCAAACTGGATTTGTCAAGGACCGTCTTTTAAGTGATAATTTGAGGCGTACTCTCAATATTATAGACCAAACAGTGATGATGAAACAACAGATGCTGACATTAAGCTTAGATGCCGAAAAGGCTTTTGATAGAGTCTCTTGGACGTTTTTACTAGGAGTATGTGAGAAGTTTGGCTTTCATAAAACATTTATTACACTGATTGAAGGAATGTATAAAGAACCAAATGCAAGAGTAAGAGTTAATGGGATGCTATCTAAGACCATCAATTTGAAACGAGGAATAAAACAAGGAGATCCCATATCACCCCAAATTTTTAATTTATGTATTGAACCTTTAGCAGAACAAATTAGGATAAATAATGAAATAAAGGGAGTTAATGTAAAGGGAGAAGAACATAAACTAGCAATGTATGCAGATGATATCATTGTATACCTCACAGAAATCCGCCAATCTCTGCCTAGTTTATTAAAGGAAATAACAAACTATAGTATTATGTCTGGCTACAAGCTAAATTTAAATAAAACAGAAGCGATGTTAGTGGGGGGCCATCTGGAAAATGAATTTAAAAAACAGTTTAATATAAAATGGGATCAGAATAAAGTGAAATATTTAGGAGTAATCATACCTAACAATTTTGACGAATTATATAATTGCAACTATGTGCCCTTGGAAAATGCTGTGAAACAAGATCTCAGTAGATGGAAAATAACACCCCTGACTCTCCTAGAAAGAATTAAGATTATAAAAATGTATGTTCTGCCACGCTTCTTATTTTTATTCCAAAACTTGCCTTTGTATATATCACCGACACGCTTCCATACATGGGAGGGAATGCTGAGAAAATTTATATGGGACGCTAAGAAGCCAAGAGTTAAATTAAAATTATTGCAACAGAACAAAGACAGAGGTGGGTTGGCCTTACCTAATCTGTGTCATTATTACTATGCAGCACAGATTAAACCTATACTGATATGGATGAACAATAAGAGAAACCCTAAATGGAAGCGTATGGAATTGAGTCTGGTCGAGTCACTCAGCACATTGATCTTTACACCTTATGATAAAGCACAGATGAAAACACTCAACTACTCTATACGTAATACTTTTAGGAGTTGGAAAACCATCTGTAAAATGTGTAAAATCAAGGAACAAGAAGCTACCTGTATGAGAGAAATGTCATGCGACTCAGATTTCACTCCAAATAGAATAGATCAGGTTTTTAAGATATGGGAAGGGAAAGGTCTTCAGAGATTCTTTCAAATGTATAATGACCAAGGAATGGTCTCTTTTGAAGATATAGTAGAACAATACAGTCTTCCTAGAAATCATTTTTTTAGATATCTGCAAGTGAGAAGCTACCTAAAAGATAAACTTAAAATTAGAACTCTTGGAAACCTTCACCCTATCCTGAGATACGTAACAAAATCTCATCAAAGACATGATTACAAAAACACAATTGGACAACTTTATCAAATATTTCAGGAAAACTTTGTTGAAGATCTAGATAATATTAAGGAAAAATGGGATAAAGAGCTGAGAATTACTATAGGAAGAAATGAGTGGAATCAGAGTTTCATGGACATTTTCAAACACATAAGATCTCCCTTCTGGCAGGAATATGCCTGGAAGATGAATATACGGTACTTCCAAACACCACTGTCCGTATCAAAGTACACATTAAACTCTAATTGTTGGAGGGAATGTGGGGAGAATAAGGCTGACCATACCCATATATTTTTTACATGTTCCAAAGTACAAAGCTTCTGGCTGAAGGTCTCACACACTATAGAACAAATATTTGGAAGAGATATTCAATTAGAAAATCACAATATAATTCTAGGAACACGTCCCAAACGATTGAGGAGCCAAGATCTTTATCTCTTCTGTATACTGAGAATGACTGCACTCAAACAAATTACAAGAGGTTGGAAAAGTGTGGACCACCCAAGGGTGGATAGGTGGCTGGAAACAATGGAAAATATGTATTTAATGGAAAAGGTGACATATAAAATTAATGGCAAGGAAACTTTGTTTGAGAAAAGATGGGTCTCTTATCTTTCAAATAAGGATAACCTGTATGCCTAAAAACTGAATTTTCATTGCTGAAACAAACACAACAAAGCCTATTTTTTATTTTTTTTTCTATTTTATTTATTAACATGTTTTTGTGTAGAAATGTCATGTTTTACGTCTCTGTTTGAGTTTATTTCTGTGTGAGAAAAAAAAAAAAAAAAGGGTCAAAATGTCTGTAAAAAAGTGATATAAATGATGAAAAAGAAACATTGATGAAATGGCAATTGATTTGTATTGCTATATGTTACGGACCTAATAAAGTATAAAAAAAAGAAAACACCCGGATACGCAGTCAAGCTTAGTTTTACAGCCTATCTCTGCAGTCCATCATGCTCCACTCCTTTGCTCCGCTTCATGACAAGATCTCAGTCCTCCCGCTCTTTGTGCTTTTTTGACTTTTTCTTTCATTTATCTTGAAGGCTCATCTCCAAGTGTATTTGCATTGGTCCAAGCTAAGAACCAGGCTCCCCAAAGACCCATATCCTAGCCTCTTGGAGAGAGAACACGGCACAAGATACAAGAAAAGAAAAGCTTACAGCACCTGGTATTCCCAGGCGGTCTCCCATCCAAGTACTAACCAGGCCCGACCCTGCTTAGCTTCCGAGATCGGACGAGATCGGGCGTGTTCAGGGTGGTATGGCCGTAAGCGATGACACAGGCTCCAAATGAGCTATTTCAACGTGCTCCTGTGTGGTTCTCTCAATTATAATCAGCATTTCACTTTCAATGAACAATGCGTCGCTCAAGAAAACACCCGGATACGCAGTCAAGCTTAGTTTTACAGCCTATCTCTGCAGTCCATCATGCTCCACTCCTTTGCTCCGCTTCATGACAAGATCTCAGTCCTCCCGCTCTTTGTGCTTTTTTGACTTTTTCTTTCATTTATCTTGAAGGCTCATCTCCAAGTGTATTTGCATTGGTCCAAGCTAAAGACCAGGCTCCCCAAAGACCCATATCCTAGCCTCTTGGAGAGAGAACACGGCACAAGATACAAGAAAAGAAAAGCTTACAGCACCTGGTATTCCCAGGCGGTCTCCCATCCAAGTACTAACCAGGCCCGACCCTGCTTAGCTTCCGAGATCGGACGAGATCGGGCGTGTTCAGGGTGGTATGGCCGTAAGCGATGACACAGGCTCCAAATGAGCTATTTCAACGTGCTCCTGTGTGGTTCTCTCAATTAGAATCAGCATTTCACTTTCAATGAACAATGCGTCGCTCAAGAAAACACCCGCATACGCAGTCAAGCTTAGTTTTACAGCCTATCTCTGCAGTCCATCATGCTCCACTCCTTTGCTCCGCTTCATGACAAGATCTCAGTCCTCCCGCTCTTTGTGCTTTTTTGACTCTTTCTTTCATTTATCTTGAAGGCTCATCTCCAAGTGTATTTGCATTGGTCCAAGCTAAAGACCAGGCTCCCCAAAGACCCATATCCTAGCCTCTTGGAGAGAGAACACGGCACAAGATACAAGAAAAGAAAAGCTTACAGCACCTGGTATTCCCAGGCGGTCTCCCATCCAAGTACTAACCAGGCCCGACCCTGCTTAGCTTCCGAGATCGGACGAGATCGGGCGTGTTCAGGGTGGTATGGCCGTAAGCGATGACACAGGCTCCAAATGAGCTATTTGAACGTGCTCCTGTGTGCTTCTCTCAATTATAATCAGCATTTCACTTTCAATGAACAATGCGTCGCTCAAGAAAACACCCGGATACGCAGTCAAGCTTAGTTTTACAGCCTATCTCTGCAGTCCATCATGCTCCACTCCTTTGCTCCGCTTCATGACAAGATCTCAGTCCTCCCGCTCTTTGTGCTTTTTTGACTCTTTCTTTCATTTATCTTGAAGGCTCATCTCCAAGTGTATTTGCATTGGTCCAAGCTAAAGACCAGGCTCCCCAAAGACCCATATCCTAGCCTCTTGGAGAGAGAACACGGCACAAGATACAAGAAAAGAAAAGCTTACAGCACCTGGTATTCCCAGGCGGTCTCCCATCCAAGTACTAACCAGGCCCGACCCTGCTTAGCTTCCGAGATCGGACGAGATCGGGCGTGTTCAGGGTGGTATGGCCGTAAGCGATGACACAGGCTCCAAATGAGCTATTTCAACGTGCTCCTGTGTGGTTCTCTCAATTATAATCAGCATTTCACTTTCAATGAACAATGCGTCGCTCAAGAAAACACCCGGATACGCAGTCAAGCTTAGTTTTACAGCCTATCTCTGCAGTCCATCATGCTCCACTCCTTTGCTCCGCTTCATGACAAGATCTCAGTCCTCCCGCTCTTTGTGCTTTTTTGACTCTTTCTTTCATTTATCTTGAAGGCTCATCTCCAAGTGTATTTGCATTGGTCCAAGCTAAAGACCAGGCTCCCCAAAGACCCATATCCTAGCCTCTTGGAGAGAGAACACGGCACAAGATACAAGAAAAGAAAAGCTTACAGCACCTGGTATTCCCAGGCGGTCTCCCATCCAAGTACTAACCAGGCCCGACCCTGCTTAGCTTCCGAGATCGGACGAGATCGGGCGTGTTCAGGGTGGTATGGCCGTAAGCGATGACACAGGCTCCAAATGAGCTATTTCAACGTGCTCCTGTGTGGTTCTCTCAATTATAATCAGCATTTCACTTTCAATGAACAATGCGTCGCTCAAGAAAACACCCGGATACGCAGTCAAGCTTAGTTTTACAGCCTATCTCTGCAGTCCATCATGCTCCACTCCTTTGCTCCGCTTCATGACAAGATCTCAGTCCTCCCGCTCTTTGTGCTTTTTTGACTCTTTCTTTCATTTATCTTGAAGGCTCATCTCCAAGTGTATTTGCATTGGTCCAAGCTAAAGACCAGGCTCCCCAAAGACCCATATCCTAGCCTCTTGGAGAGAGAACACGGCACAAGATACAAGAAAAGAAAAGCTTACAGCACCTGGTATTCCCAGGCGGTCTCCCATCCAAGTACTAACCAGGCCCGACCCTGCTTAGCTTCCGAGATCGGACGAGATCGGGCGTGTTCAGGGTGGTATGGCCGTAAGCGATGACACAGGCTCCAAATGAGCTATTTCAACGTGCTCCTGTGTGGTTCTCTCAATTATAATCAGCATTTCACTTTCAATGAACAATGCGTCGCTCAAGAAAACACCCGGATACGCAGTCAAGCTTAGTTTTACAGCCTATCTCTGCAGTCCATCATGCTCCACTCCTTTGCTCCGCTTCATGACAAGATCTCAGTCCTCCCGCTCTTTGTGCTTTTTTGACTCTTTCTTTCATTTATCTTGAAGGCTCATCTCCAAGTGTATTTGCATTGGTCCAAGCTAAAGACCAGGCTCCCCAAAGACCCATATCCTAGCCTCTTGGAGAGAGAACACGGCACAAGAAAAGAAAAGCTTACAGCACCTGGTATTCCCAGGCGGTCTCCCATCCAAGTACTAACCAGGCCCGACCCTGCTTAGCTTCCGAGATCGGACGAGATCGGGCGTGTTCAGGGTGGTATGGCCGTAAGCGATGACACATGCTTCAAATGAGCTATTTGAACGTGCTCCTGTGTGGTTCTCTCAATTATAATCAGCATTTCACTTTCAATGAACAATGCGTCGCTCAAGAAAACACCCGCATACGCAGTCAAGCTTAGTTTTACAGCCTATCTCTGCAGTCCATCATGCTCCACTCCTTTGCTCCGCTTCATGACAAGATCTCAGTCCTCCCGCTCTTTGTGCTTTTTTGACTCTTTCTTTCATTTATCTTGAAGGCTCATCTCCAAGTGTATTTGCATTGGTCCAAGCTAAAGACCAGGCTCCCCAAAGACCCATATCCTAGCCTCTTGGAGAGAGAACACGGCACAAGATACAAGAAAAGAAAAGCTTACAGCACCTGGTATTCCCAGGCGGTCTCCCATCCAAGTACTAACCAGGCCCGACCCTGCTTAGCTTCCGAGATCGGACGAGATCGGGCGTGTTCAGGGTGGTATGGCCGTAAGCGATGACACAGGCTCCAAATGAGCTATTTCAACGTGCTCCTGTGTGGTTCTCTCAATTATAATCAGCATTTCACTTTCAATGAACAATGCGTCGCTCAAGAAAACACCCGGATACGCAGTCAAGCTTAGTTTTACAGCCTATCTCTGCAGTCCATCATGCTCCACTCCTTTGCTCCACTTCATGACAAGATCTCAGTCCTCCCGCTCTTTGTGCTTTTTTGACTCTTTCTTTCATTTATCTTGAAGGCTCATCTCCAAGTGTATTTGCATTGGTCCAAGCTAAAGACCAGGCTCCCCAAAGACCCATATCCTAGCCTCTTGGAGAGGGAATACGGCACAAGATACAAGAAAAGAAAAGCTTACAGCACCTGGTATTCCCAGGCGGTCTCCCATCCAAGTACTAACCAGGCCCGACCCTGCTTAGCTTCCGAGATCGGACGAGATCGGGCGTGTTCAGGGTGGTATGGCCGTAAGCGATGACACAGGCTCCAAATGAGCTATTTCAACGTGCTCCTGTGTGGTTCTCTCAATTATAATCAGCATTTCACTTTCAATGAACAATGCGTCGCTCAAGAAAACACCCGGATACGCAGTCAAGCTTAGTTTTACAGCCTATCTCTGCAGTCCATCATGCTCCACTCCTTTGCTCCGCTTCATGACAAGATCTCAGTCCTCCCGCTCTTTGTGCTTTTTTGACTCTTTCTTTCATTTATCTTGAAGGCTCATCTCCAAGTGTATTTGCATTGGTCCAAGCTAAAGACCAGGCTCCCCAAAGACCCATATCCTAGCCTCTTGGAGAGAGAACACGGCACAAGATACAAGAAAAGAAAAGCTTACAGCACCTGGTATTCCCAGGCGGTCTCCCATCCAAGTACTAACCAGGCCCGACCCTGCTTAGCTTCCGAGATCGGACGAGATCGGGCGTGTTCAGGGTGGTATGGCCGTAAGCGATGACACAGGCTCCAAATGAGCTATTTCAACGTGCTCCTGTGTGGTTCTCTCAATTATAATCAGCATTTCACTTTCAATGAACAATGCGTCGCTCAAGAAAACACCCGGATACGCAGTCAAGCTTAGTTTTACAGCCTATCTCTGCAGTCCATCATGCTCCACTCCTTTGCTCCGCTTCATGACAAGATCTCAGTCCTCCCGCTCTTTGTGCTTTTTTGACTCTTTCTTTCATTTATCTTGAAGGCTCATCTCCAAGTGTATTTGCATTGGTCCAAGCTAAAGACCAGGCTCCCCAAAGACCCATATCCTAGCCTCTTGGAGAGAGAACACGGCACAAGATACAAGAAAAGAAAAGCTTACAGCACCTGGTATTCCCAGGCGGTCTCCCATCCAAGTACTAACCAGGCCCGACCCTGCTTAGCTTCCGAGATCGGACGAGATCGGGCGTGTTCAGGGTGGTATGGCCGTAAGCGATGACACAGGCTCCAAATGAGCTATTTCAACGTGCTCCTGTGTGGTTCTCTCAATTATAATCAGCATTTCACTTTCAATGAACAATGCGTCGCTCAAGAAAACACCCGGATACGCAGTCAAGCTTAGTTTTACAGCCTATCTCTGCAGTCCATCATGCTCCACTCCTTTGCTCCGCTTCATGACAAGATCTCAGTCCTCCCGCTCTTTGTGCTTTTTTGACTCTTTCTTTCATTTATCTTGAAGGCTCATCTCCAAGTGTATTTGCATTGGTCCAAGCTAAAGACCAGGCTCCCCAAAGACCCATATCCTAGCCTCTTGGAGAGAGAACACGGCACAAGATACAAGAAAAGAAAAGCTTACAGCACCTGGTATTCCCAGGCGGTCTCCCATCCAAGTACTAACCAGGCCCGACCCTGCTTAGCTTCCGAGATCGGACGAGATCGGGCGTGTTCAGGGTGGTATGGCCGTCAGCGATGACACAGGCTCCAAATGAGCTATTTGAACATGCTCCTGTGTGGTTCTCTCAATTATAATCAGCATTTCACTTTCAATGAACAATGCGTCGCTCAAGAAAACACCCGGATACGCAGTCAAGCTTAGTTTTACAGCCTATCTCTGCAGTCCATCATGCTCCACTCCTTTGCTCCGCTTCATGACAAGATCTCAGTCCTCCCGCTCTTTGTGCTTTTTTGACTCTTTCTTTCATTTATCTTGAAGGCTCATCTCCAAGTGTATTTGCATTGGTCCAAGCTAAAGACCAGGCTCCCCAAAGACCCATATCCTAGACTCTTGGAGAGAGAACACGGCACAAGATACAAGAAAAGAAAAGCTTACAGCACCTGGTATTCCCAGGCGGTCTCCCATCCAAGTACTAACCAGGCCCGACCCTGCTTAGCTTCCGAGATCGGACGAGATCGGGCGTGTTCAGGGTGGTATGGCCGTAAGCGATGACACAGGCTTCAAATGAGCTATTTCAACGTGCTCCTGTGTGGTTCTCTCAATTATAATCAGCATTTCACTTTCAATGAACAATGCGTCGCTCAAGAAAACACCCGGATACGCAGTCAAGCTTAGTTTTACAGCCTATCTCTGCAGTCCATCATGCTCCACTCCTTTGCTCCGCTTCATGACAAGATCTCAGTCCTCCCGCTCTTTGTGCTTTTTTGACTCTTTCTTTCATTTATCTTGAAGGCTCATCTCCAAGTGTATTTGCATTGGTCCAAGCTAAAGACCAGGCTCCCCAAAGACCCATATCCTAGCCTCTTGGAGAGAGAACACGGCACAAGATACAAGAAAAGAAAAGCTTACAGCACCTGGTATTCCCAGGCGGTCTCCCATCCAAGTACTAACCAGGCCCGACCCTGCTTAGCTTCCGAGATCGGACGAGATCGGGCGTGTTCAGGGTGGTATGGCCGTAAGCGATGACACAGGCTTCAAATGAGCTATTTGAACATGCTCCTGTGTGGTTCACTCAATTATAATCAGCATTTCACTTTCAATGAACAATGCGTCGCTCAAGAAAACACCCGGATACGCAGTCAAGCTTAGTTTTACAGCCTATCTCTGCAGTCCATCATGCTCCACTCCTTTGCTCCGCTTCATGACAAGATCTCAGTCCTCCCGCTCTTTGTGCTTTTTTGACTCTTTCTTTCATTTATCTTGAAGGCTCATCTCCAAGTGTATTTGCATTGGTCCAAGCTAAAGACCAGGCTCCCCAAAGACCCATATCCTAGACTCTTGGAGAGAGAACACGGCACAAGATACAAGAAAAGAAAAGCTTACAGCACCTGGTATTCCCAGGCGGTCTCCCATCCAAGTACTAACCAGGCCCGACCCTGCTTAGCTTCCGAGATCGGACGAGATCGGGCGTGTTCAGGGTGGTATGGCCGTAAGCGATGACACAGGCTCCAAATGAGCTATTTGAACGTGCTCCTGTGTGGTTCTCTCAATTATAATCAGCATTTCACTTTCAATGAACAATGCGTCGCTCAAGAAAACACCCGGATACGCAGTCAAGCTTAGTTTTACAGCCTATCTCTGCAGTCCATCATGCTCCACTCCTTTGCTCCGCTTCATGACAAGATCTCAGTCCTCCCGCTCTTTGTGCTTTTTTGACTCTTTCTTTCATTTATCTTGAAGGCTCATCTCCAAGTGTATTTGCATTGGTCCAAGCTAAAGACCAGGCTCCCCAAAGACCCATATCCTAGCCTCTTGGAGAGAGAACACGGCACAAGATACAAGAAAAGAAAAGCTTACAGCACCTGGTATTCCCAGGCGGTCTCCCATCCAAGTACTAACCAGGCCCGACCCTGCTTAGCTTCCGAGATCGGACGAGATCGGGCGTGTTCAGGGTGGTATGGCCGTAAGCGATGACACAGGCTCCAAATGAGCTATTTCAACGTGCTCCTGTGTGGTTCTCTCAATTATAATCAGCATTTCACTTTCAATGAACAATGCGTCGCTCAAGAAAACACCCGGATACGCAGTCAAGCTTAGTTTTACAGCCTATCTCTGCAGTCCATCATGCTCCACTCCTTTGCTCCGCTTCATGACAAGATCTCAGTCCTCCCGCTCTTTGTGCTTTTTTGACTCTTTCTTTCATTTATCTTGAAGGCTCATCTCCAAGTGTATTTGCATTGGTCCAAGCTAAAGACCAGGCTCCCCAAAGACCCATATCCTAGCCTCTTGGAGAGAGAACACGGCACAAGATACAAGAAAAGAAAAGCTTACAGCACCTGGTATTCCCAGGCGGTCTCCCATCCAAGTACTAACCAGGCCCGACCCTGCTTAGCTTCCGAGATCGGACGAGATCGGGCGTGTTCAGGGTGGTATGGCCGTAAGCGATGACACAGGCTTCAAATGAGCTATTTCAACGTGCTCCTGTGTGGTTCTCTCAATTATAATCAGCATTTCACTTTCAATGAACAATGCGTCGCTCAAGAAAACACCCGGATACGCAGTCAAGCTTAGTTTTACAGCCTATCTCTGCAGTCCATCATGCTCCACTCCTTTGCTCCGCTTCATGACAAGATCTCAGTCCTCCCGCTCTTTGTGCTTTTTTGACTCTTTCTTTCATTTATCTTGAAGGCTCATCTCCAAGTGTATTTGCATTGGTCCAAGCTAAAGACCAGGCTCCCCAAAGACCCATATCCTAGCCTCTTGGAGAGAGAACACGGCACAAGATACAAGAAAAGAAAAGCTTACAGCACCTGGTATTCCCAGGCGGTCTCCCATCCAAGTACTAACCAGGCCCGACCCTGCTTAGCTTCCGAGATCGGACGAGATCGGGCGTGTTCAGGGTGGTATGGCCGTAAGCGATGACACAGGCTCCAAATGAGCTATTTGAACGTGCTCCTGTGTGGTTCTCTCAATTATAATCAGCATTTCACTTTCAATGAACAATGCGTCGCTCAAGAAAACACCCGGATACGCAGTCAAGCTTAGTTTTACAGCCTATCTCTGCAGTCCATCATGCTCCACTCCTTTGCTCCGCTTCATGACAAGATCTCAGTCCTCCCGCTCTTTGTGCTTTTTTGACTCTTTCTTTCATTTATCTTGAAGGCTCATCTCCAAGTGTATTTGCATTGGTCCAAGCTAAAGACCAGGCTCCCCAAAGACCCATATCCTAGCCTCTTGGAGAGAGAACACGGCACAAGATACAAGAAAAGAAAAGCTTACAGCACCTGGTATTCCCAGGCGGTCTCCCATCCAAGTACTAACCAGGCCCGACCCTGCTTAGCTTCCGAGATCGGACGAGATCGGGCGTGTTCAGGGTGGTATGGCCGTAAGCGATGACACAGGCTCCAAATGAGCTATTTCAACGTGCTCCTGTGTGGTTCTCTCAATTATAATCAGCATTTCACTTTCAATGAACAATGCGTCGCTCAAGAAAACACCCGGATACGCAGTCAAGCTTAGTTTTACAGCCTATCTCTGCAGTCCATCATGCTCCACTCCTTTGCTCCGCTTCATGACAAGATCTCAGTCCTCCCGCTCTTTGTGCTTTTTTGACTCTTTCTTTCATTTATCTTGAAGGCTCATCTCCAAGTGTATTTGCATTGGTCCAAGCTAAAGACCAGGCTCCCCAAAGACCCATATCCTAGCCTCTTGGAGAGAGAACACGGCACAAGATACAAGAAAAGAAAAGCTTACAGCACCTGGTATTCCCAGGCGGTCTCCCATCCAAGTACTAACCAGGCCCGACCCTGCTTAGCTTCCGAGATCGGACGAGATCGGGCGTGTTCAGGGTGGTATGGCCGTAAGCGATGACACAGGCTCCAAATGAGCTATTTCAACGTGCTCCTGTGTGGTTCTCTCAATTATAATCAGCATTTCACTTTCAATGAACAATGCGTCGCTCAAGAAAACACCCGGATACGCAGTCAAGCTTAGTTTTACAGCCTATCTCTGCAGTCCATCATGCTCCACTCCTTTGCTCCGCTTCATGACAAGATCTCAGTCCTCCCGCTCTTTGTGCTTTTTTGACTCTTTCTTTCATTTATCTTGAAGGCTCATCTCCAAGTGTATTTGCATTGGTCCAAGCTAAAGACCAGGCTCCCCAAAGACCCATATCCTAGCCTCTTGGAGAGAGAACACGGCACAAGAAAAGAAAAGCTTACAGCACCTGGTATTCCCAGGCGGTCTCCCATCCAAGTACTAACCAGGCCCGACCCTGCTTAGCTTCCGAGATCGGACGAGATCGGGCGTGTTCAGGGTGGTATGGCCGTAAGCGATGACACATGCTTCAAATGAGCTATTTGAACGTGCTCCTGTGTGGTTCTCTCAATTATAATCAGCATTTCACTTTCAATGAACAATGCGTCGCTCAAGAAAACACCCGGATACGCAGTCAAGCTTAGTTTTACAGCCTATCTCTGCAGTCCATCATGCTCCACTCCTTTGCTCCGCTTCATGACAAGATCTCAGTCCTCCCGCTCTTTGTGCTTTTTTGACTCTTTCTTTCATTTATCTTGAAGGCTCATCTCCAAGTGTATTTGCATTGGTCCAAGCTAAAGACCAGGCTCCCCAAAGACCCATATCCTAGCCTCTTGGAGAGAGAACACGGCACAAGATACAAGAAAAGAAAAGCTTACAGCACCTGGTATTCCCAGGCGGTCTCCCATCCAAGTACTAACCAGGCCCGACCCTGCTTAGCTTCCGAGATCGGACGAGATCGGGCGTGTTCAGGGTGGTATGGCCGTAAGCGATGACACAGGCTCCAAATGAGCTATTTGAACGTGCTCCTGTGTGGTTCTCTCAATTATAATCAGCATTTCACTTTCAATGAACAATGCGTCGCTCAAGAAAACACCCGGATACGCAGTCAAGCTTAGTTTTACAGCCTATCTCTGCAGTCCATCATGCTCCACTCCTTTGCTCCACTTCATGACAAGATCTCAGTCCTCCCGCTCTTTGTGCTTTTTGACTCTTTCTTTCATTTATCTTGAAGGCTCATCTCCAAGTGTATTTGCATTGGTCCAAGCTAAAGACCAGGCTCCCCAAAGACCCATATCCTAGCCTCTTGGAGAGAGAACACGGCACAAGATACAAGAAAAGAAAAGCTTACAGCACCTGGTATTCCCAGGCGGTCTCCCATCCAAGTACTAACCAGGCCCGACCCTGCTTAGCTTCCGAGATCGGACGAGATCGGGCGTGTTCAGGGTGGTATGGCCGTAAGCGATGACACAGGCTCCAAATGAGCTATTTGAACGTGCTCCTGTGTGGTTCTCTCAATTAGAATCAGCATTTCACTTTCAATGAACAATGCGTCGCTCAAGAAAACACCCGGATACGCAGTCAAGCTTAGTTTTACAGCCTATCTCTGCAGTCCATCATGCTCCACTCCTTTGCTCCGCTTCATGACAAGATCTCAGTCCTCCCGCTCTTTGTGCTTTTTTGACTCTTTCTTTCATTTATCTTGAAGGCTCATCTCCAAGTGTATTTGCATTGGTCCAAGCTAAAGACCAGGCTCCCCAAAGACCCATATCCTAGCCTCTTGGAGAGAGAACACGGCACAAGATACAAGAAAAGAAAAGCTTACAGCACCTGGTATTCCCAGGCGGTCTCCCATCCAAGTACTAACCAGGCCCGACCCTGCTTAGCTTCCGAGATCGGACGAGATCGGGCGTGTTCAGGGTGGTATGGCCGTAAGCGATGACACAGGCTCCAAATGAGCTATTTGAACGTGCTCCTGTGTGGTTCTCTCAATTATAATCAGCATTTCACTTTCAATGAACAATGCGTCGCTCAAGAAAACACCCGGATACGCAGTCAAGCTTAGTTTTACAGCCTATCTCTGCAGTCCATCATGCTCCACTCCTTTGCTCCGCTTCATGACAAGATCTCAGTCCTCCCGCTCTTTGTGCTTTTTTGACTCTTTCTTTCATTTATCTTGAAGGCTCATCTCCAAGTGTATTTGCATTGGTCCAAGCTAAAGACCAGGCTCCCCAAAGACCCATATCCTAGCCTCTTGGAGAGAGAACACGGCACAAGATACAAGAAAAGAAAAGCTTACAGCACCTGGTATTCCCAGGCGGTCTCCCATCCAAGTACTAACCAGGCCCGACCCTGCTTAGCTTCCGAGATCGGACGAGATCGGGCGTGTTCAGGGTGGTATGGCCGTAAGCGATGACACAGGCTCCAAATGAGCTATTTGAACGTGCTCCTGTGTGGTTCTCTCAATTATAATCAGCATTTCACTTTCAATGAACAATGCGTCGCTCAAGAAAACACCCGGATACGCAGTCAAGCTTAGTTTTACAGCCTATCTCTGCAGTCCATCATGCTCCACTCCTTTGCTCCGCTTCATGACAAGATCTCAGTCCTCCCGCTCTTTGTGCTTTTTTGACTCTTTCTTTCATTTATCTTGAAGGCTCATCTCCAAGTGTATTTGCATTGGTCCAAGCTAAAGACCAGGCTCCCCAAAGACCCATATCCTAGCCTCTTGGAGAGAGAACACGGCACAAGATACAAGAAAAGAAAAGCTTACAGCACCTGGTATTCCCAGGCGGTCTCCCATCCAAGTACTAACCAGGCCCGACCCTGCTTAGCTTCCGAGATCGGACGAGATCGGGCGTGTTCAGGGTGGTATGGCCGTAAGCGATGACACAGGCTCCAAATGAGCTATTTGAACGTGCTCCTGTGTGGTTCTCTCAATTAGAATCAGCATTTCACTTTCAATGAACAATGCGTCGCTCAAGAAAACACCCGGATACGCAGTCAAGCTTAGTTTTACAGCCTATCTCTGCAGTCCATCATGCTCCACTCCTTTGCTCCGCTTCATGACAAGATCTCAGTCCTCCCGCTCTTTGTGCTTTTTTGACTCTTTCTTTCATTTATCTTGAAGGCTCATCTCCAAGTGTATTTGCATTGGTCCAAGCTAAAGACCAGGCTCCCCAAAGACCCATATCCTAGCCTCTTGGAGAGAGAACACGGCAAAAGACAAGAAAAGAAAAGCTTACAGCACCTGGTATTCCCAGGCGGTCTCCCATCCAAGTACTAACCAGGCCCGACCCTGCTTAGCTTCCGAGATCGGACGAGATCGGGCGTGTTCAGGGTGGTATGGCCGTAAGCGATGACACATGCTCCAAATGAGCTATTTGAACGTGCTCCTGTGTGGTTCTCTCAATTAGAATCAGCATTTCACTTTCAATGAACAATGCGTCGCTCAAGAAAACACCCGGATACGCAGTCAAGCTTAGTTTTACAGCCTATCTCTGCAGTCCATCATGCTCCACTCCTTTGCTCCGCTTCATGACAAGATCTCAGTCCTCCCGCTCTTTGTGCTTTTTTGACTCTTTCTTTCATTTATCTTGAAGGCTCATCTCCAAGTGTATTTGCATTGGTCCAAGCTAAAGACCAGGCTCCCCAAAGACCCATATCCTAGCCTCTTGGAGAGAGAACACGGCACAAGATACAAGAAAAGAAAAGCTTACAGCACCTGGTATTCCCAGGCGGTCTCCCATCCAAGTACTAACCAGGCCCGACCCTGCTTAGCTTCCGAGATCGGACGAGATCGGGCGTGTTCAGGGTGGTATGGCCGTAAGCGATGACACAGGCTCCAAATGAGCTATTTGAACGTGCTCCTGTGTGGTTCTCTCAATTAGAATCAGCATTTCACTTTCAATGAACAATGCGTCGCTCAAGAAAACACCCGGATACGCAGTCAAGCTTAGTTTTACAGCCTATCTCTGCAGTCCATCATGCTCCACTCCTTTGCTCCACTTCATGACAAGATCTCAGTCCTCCCGCTCTTTGTGCTTTTTGACTCTTTCTTTCATTTATCTTGAAGGCTCATCTCCAAGTGTATTTGCATTGGTCCAAGCAAAAGACCAGGCTCCCCAAAGACCCATATCCTAGCCTCTTGGAGAGAGAACACGGCACAAGATGCAAGAAAAGAAAAGCTTACAGCACCTGGTATTCCCAGGCGGTCTCCCATCCAAGTACTAACCAGGCCCGACCCTGCTTAGCTTCCGAGATCGGACGAGATCGGGCGTGTTCAGGGTGGTATGGCCGTAAGCGATGACACAGGCTCCAAATGAGCTATTTGAACATGCTCCTGTGTGGTTCTCTCAATTAGAATCAGCATTTCACTTTCAATGAACAATGCGTCGCTCAAGAAAACACCCGGATACGCAGTCAAGCTTAGTTTTACAGCCTATCTCTGCAGTCCATCATGCTCCACTCCTTTGCTCCGCTTCATGACAAGATCTCAGTCCTCCCGCTCTTTGTGCTTTTTGACTTTTCTTTCATTTATCTTGAAGGCTCATCTCCAAGTGTATTTGCATTGGTCCAAGCTAAAGACCAGGCTCCCCAAAGACCCATATCCTAGCCTCTTGGAGAGAGAACACGGCACAAGATACAAGAAAAGAAAAGCTTACAGCACCTGGTATTCCCAGGCGGTCTCCCATCCAAGTACTAACCAGGCCCGACCCTGCTTAGCTTCCGAGATCGGACGAGATCGGGCGTGTTCAGGGTGGTATGGCCGTAAGCGATGACACAGGCTCCAAATGAGCTATTTGAACGTGCTCCTGTGTGGTTCTCTCAATTAGAATCAGCATTTCACTTTCAGTGAACAATGCGTCGCTCAAGAAAACACCCGGATACGCAGTCAAGCTTAGTTTTACAGCCTATCTCTGCAGTCCATCATGCTCCACTCCTTTGCTCCGCTTCATGACAAGATCTCAGTCCTCCCGCTCTTTGTGCTTTTTTGACTTTTTCTTTCATTTATCTTGAAGGCTCATCTCCAAGTGTATTTGCATTGGTCCAAGCAAAAGACCAGGCTCCCCAAAGACCGATATCCTAGCCTCTTGGAGAGAGAACACGGCAAAAGATACAAGAAAAGAAAAGCTTACAGCACCTGGTATTCCCAGGCGGTCTCCCATCCAAGTACTAACCAGGCCCGACCCTGCTTAGCTTCCGAGATCGGACGAGATCGGGCGTGTTCAGGGTGGTTTGACCCAGCTATGACACAGGCTCTAAATGAGCTATTTGAACATGCTCCTGTGTGGTTCTCTCAATTAGAATCAGCATTTCACTTTCAGTGAACAATGCGGCGCTCAAGAAAACACCCGGATACGCAGTCAAGCTTAGTTTTACAGCCTATCTCTGCAGTCCATCATGCTCCACTCCTTTGCTCCACTTTAGGACAAGATCTCAGTCCTCCCGCTCTTTGTGCTTTTTTGACTTTTTCTTTCATTTTATCTTGAAGGCTCATCTCCAAGTGCACTTGCATTTGGTCCAAGCAAAAGACCAGGCTCCCCAAAGACCCATATCCTAGCCTCTTGGAGAGAGAACACGGCAAAAGATAGAAAGAAAAGAAAAGCTTACAGCACCTGGTATTCCCAGGCGGTCTCCCATCCAAGTACTAACCAGGCCCGACCCTGCTTAGCTTCCGAGATCGGACGAGATCGGGCGTGTTCAGGGTGGTATGGCCGTAAGCGATGACACAGGCTCCAAATGAGCTATTTGAACATGCTCCTGTGTGGTTCTCTCAATTAGAATCAGCATTTCACTTTCAGTGAACAATGCGGCGCTCAAGAAAACACCCGGATACGCAGTCAAGCTTAGTTTTACAGCCTATCTCTGCAGTCCATCATGCTCCACTCCTTTGCTCCACTTCATGACAAGATCTCAGTCCTCCCGCTCTTTGTGCTTTTTGACTTTTCTTTCATTTTATGTTGAAGCCTCATCTCCAAGTGTACTTGCATTGGTCCAAGCAAAAGACCAGGCTCCCCAAAGACCGATATCCTAGCCTCTTGGAGAGAGAACACGGCAAAAGATGCAAGAAAAAAAGAAAAGCTTACAGCACCTGGTATTCCCAGGCGGTCTCCCATCCAAGTACTAACCAGGCCCGACCCTGCTTAGCTTCCGAGATCGGACGAGATCGGGCGTGTTCAGGGTGGTATGGCCGTAAGCGATGACACAGGCTCCAAATGAGCTATTTGAACATGCTCCTGTGTGCTTCTCTCAATTAGAATCAGCATTTCACTTTCAGTGAACAATGCGGCGCTCAAGAAAACACCCGGATACGCAGTCAAGCTTAGTTTTACAGCCTATCTCTGCAGTCCATCATGCTCCACTCCTTTGCTCCACTTTAGGACAAGATCTCAGTCCTCCCGCTCTTTGTGCTTTTTGACTTTTTCTTTCATTTTATGTTCAGCCTAATCTCCAAGTGCACTTGCATTGTCCAAGCAAAAGACCAGGCTCCCCAAAGACCGATATCCTAGCCTCTTGGAGAGAGAACACGGCACAAGATGCAAGAAAAAAGAAAAGCTTACAGCACCTGGTATTCCCAGGCGGTCTCCCATCCAAGTACTAACCAGGCCCGACCCTGCTTAGCTTCCGAGATCGGACGAGATCGGGCGTGTTCAGGGTGGTATGGCCGTAAGCGATGACACAGGCTCCAAATGAGCTATTTGAACATGCTCCTGTGTGCTTCTCTCAATTAGAATCAGCATTTCACTTTCAGTGAACAATGCGGCGCTCAAGAAAACACCCGGATACGCAGTCAAGCTTAGTTTTACAGCCTATCTCTGCAGTCCATCATGCTCCACTCCTTTGCTCCACTTTAGGACAAGATCTCAGTCCTCCCGCTCTTTGTGCTTTTTGACTTTTTCTTTCATTTATGTTCAGCCTAATCTCCAAGTGCACTTGCATTTGTCCAAGCAAAAGACCAGGCTCCCCAAAGACCGATATCCTAGCCTCTTGGAGAGAGAACACGGCAAAAAGATGCAAGAAAAAAAGAAAAGCTTACAGCACCTGGTATTCCCAGGCGGTCTCCCATCCAAGTACTAACCAGGCCCGACCCTGCTTAGCTTCCGAGATCGGACGAGATCGGGCGTGTTCAGGGTGGTATGGCCGTAAGCGATGACACAGGCTCCAAATGAGCTATTTGAACATGCTCCTGTGTGCTTCTCTCAATTAGAATCAGCATTTCACTTTCAGTGAACAATGCGGCGCTCAAGAAAACACCCGGATACGCAGTCAAGCTTAGTTTTACAGCCTATCTCTGCAGTCCATCATGCTCCACTCCTTTGCTCCACTTTAGGACAAGATCTCAGTCCTCCCGCTCTTTGTGCTTTTTGACTTTTTCTTTCATTTTATGTTCAGCCTAATCTCCAAGTGCACTTGCATTTGTCCAAGCAAAAGACCAGGCTCCCCAAAGACCGATATCCTAGCCTCTTGGAGAGAGAACACGGCAAAAGATGCAAGAAAAAAGAGAAAAGCTTACAGCACCTGGTATTCCCAGGCGGTCTCCCATCCAAGTACTAACCAGGCCCGACCCTGCTTAGCTTCCGAGATCGGACGAGATCGGGCGTGTTCAGGGTGGTATGGCCGTAAGCGATGACACAGGCTCCAAATGAGCTATTTGAACATGCTCCTGTGTGCTTCTCTCAATTAGAATCAGCATTTCACTTTCAGTGAACAATGCGGCGCTCAAGAAAACACCCGGATACGCAGTCAAGCTTAGTTTTACAGCCTATCTCTGCAGTCCATCATGCTCCACTCCTTTGCTCCACTTTAGGACAAGATCTCAGTCCTCCCGCTCTTTGTGCTTTTTGACTTTTTCTTTCATTTTATGTTCAGCCTAATCTCCAAGTGCACTTGCATTTGTCCAAGCAAAAGACCAGGCTCCCCAAAGACCGATATCCTAGCCTCTTGGAGAGAGAACACGGCAAAAAGATGCAAGAAAAGAAGAGAAAAGCTTACAGCACCTGGTATTCCCAGGCGGTCTCCCATCCAAGTACTAACCAGGCCCGACCCTGCTTAGCTTCCGAGATCGGACGAGATCGGGCGTGTTCAGGGTGGTATGGCCGTAAGCGATGACACAGGCTCCAAATGAGCTATTTGAACATGCTCCTGTGTGCTTCTCTCAATTAGAATCAGCATTTCACTTTCAGTGAACAATGCGGCGCTCAAGAAAACACCCGGATACGCAGTCAAGCTTAGTTTTACAGCCTATCTCTGCAGTCCATCATGCTCCACTCCTTTGCTCCACTTTAGGACAAGATCTCAGTCCTCCCGCTCTTTGTGCTTTTTGACTTTTTCTTTCATTTTATGTTCAGCCTAATCTCCAAGTGCACTTGCATTTGTCCAAGCAAAAGACCAGGCTCCCCAAAGACCGATATCCTAGCCTCTTGGAGAGAGAACACGGCAAAAAGATGCAAGAAAAGAAGAGAAAAGCTTACAGCACCTGGTATTCCCAGGCGGTCTCCCATCCAAGTACTAACCAGGCCCGACCCTGCTTAGCTTCCGAGATCGGACGAGATCGGGCGTGTTCAGGGTGGTATGGCCGTAAGCGATGACACAGGCTCCAAATGAGCTATTTGAACATGCTCCTGTGTGCTTCTCTCAATTAGAATCAGCATTTCACTTTCAGTGAACAATGCGGCGCTCAAGAAAACACCCGGATACGCAGTCAAGCTTAGTTTTACAGCCTATCTCTGCAGTCCATCATGCTCCACTCCTTTGCTCCACTTTAGGACAAGATCTCAGTCCTCCCGCTCTTTGTGCTTTTTGACTTTTTCTTTCATTTTATGTTCAGCCTAATCTCCAAGTGCACTTGCATTTGTCCAAGCAAAAGACCAGGCTCCCCAAAGACCGATATCCTAGCCTCTTGGAGAGAGAACACGGCAAAAAGATGCAAGAAAAGAAGAGAAAAGCTTACAGCACCTGGTATTCCCAGGCGGTCTCCCATCCAAGTACTAACCAGGCCCGACCCTGCTTAGCTTCCGAGATCGGACGAGATCGGGCGTGTTCAGGGTGGTATGGCCGTAAGCGATGACACAGGCTCCAAATGAGCTATTTGAACATGCTCCTGTGTGCTTCTCTCAATTAGAATCAGCATTTCACTTTCAGTGAACAATGCGGCGCTCAAGAAAACACCCGGATACGCAGTCAAGCTTAGTTTTACAGCCTATCTCTGCAGTCCATCATGCTCCACTCCTTTGCTCCACTTTAGGACAAGATCTCAGTCCTCCCGCTCTTTGTGCTTTTTGACTTTTTCTTTCATTTTATGTTCAGCCTAATCTCCAAGTGCACTTGCATTTGTCCAAGCAAAAGACCAGGCTCCCCAAAGACCGATATCCTAGCCTCTTGGAGAGAGAACACGGCAAAAAGATGCAAGAAAAGAAGAGAAAAGCTTACAGCACCTGGTATTCCCAGGCGGTCTCCCATCCAAGTACTAACCAGGCCCGACCCTGCTTAGCTTCCGAGATCGGACGAGATCGGGCGTGTTCAGGGTGGTATGGCCGTAAGCGATGACACAGGCTCCAAATGAGCTATTTGAACATGCTCCTGTGTGCTTCTCTCAATTAGAATCAGCATTTCACTTTCAGTGAACAATGCGGCGCTCAAGAAAACACCCGGATACGCAGTCAAGCTTAGTTTTACAGCCTATCTCTGCAGTCCATCATGCTCCACTCCTTTGCTCCACTTTAGGACAAGATCTCAGTCCTCCCGCTCTTTGTGCTTTTTGACTTTTTCTTTCATTTTATGTTCAGCCTAATCTCCAAGTGCACTTGCATTTGTCCAAGCAAAAGACCAGGCTCCCCAAAGACCGATATCCTAGCCTCTTGGAGAGAGAACACGGCAAAAAGATGCAAGAAAAGAAGAGAAAAGCTTACAGCACCTGGTATTCCCAGGCGGTCTCCCATCCAAGTACTAACCAGGCCCGACCCTGCTTAGCTTCCGAGATCGGACGAGATCGGGCGTGTTCAGGGTGGTATGGCCGTAAGCGATGACACAGGCTCCAAATGAGCTATTTGAACATGCTCCTGTGTGCTTCTCTCAATTAGAATCAGCATTTCACTTTCAGTGAACAATGCGGCGCTCAAGAAAACACCCGGATACGCAGTCAAGCTTAGTTTTACAGCCTATCTCTGCAGTCCATCATGCTCCACTCCTTTGCTCCACTTTAGGACAAGATCTCAGTCCTCCCGCTCTTTGTGCTTTTTGACTTTTTCTTTCATTTTATGTTCAGCCTAATCTCCAAGTGCACTTGCATTTGTCCAAGCAAAAGACCAGGCTCCCCAAAGACCGATATCCTAGCCTCTTGGAGAGAGAACACGGCAAAAAGATGCAAGAAAAGAAGAGAAAAGCTTACAGCACCTGGTATTCCCAGGCGGTCTCCCATCCAAGTACTAACCAGGCCCGACCCTGCTTAGCTTCCGAGATCGGACGAGATCGGGCGTGTTCAGGGTGGTATGGCCGTAAGCGATGACACAGGCTCCAAATGAGCTATTTGAACATGCTCCTGTGTGCTTCTCTCAATTAGAATCAGCATTTCACTTTCAGTGAACAATGCGGCGCTCAAGAAAACACCCGGATACGCAGTCAAGCTTAGTTTTACAGCCTATCTCTGCAGTCCATCATGCTCCACTCCTTTGCTCCACTTTAGGACAAGATCTCAGTCCTCCCGCTCTTTGTGCTTTTTGACTTTTTCTTTCATTTTATGTTCAGCCTAATCTCCAAGTGCACTTGCATTTGTCCAAGCAAAAGACCAGGCTCCCCAAAGACCGATATCCTAGCCTCTTGGAGAGAGAACACGGCAAAAAGATGCAAGAAAAGAAGAGAAAAGCTTACAGCACCTGGTATTCCCAGGCGGTCTCCCATCCAAGTACTAACCAGGCCCGACCCTGCTTAGCTTCCGAGATCGGACGAGATCGGGCGTGTTCAGGGTGGTATGGCCGTAAGCGATGACACAGGCTCCAAATGAGCTATTTGAACATGCTCCTGTGTGCTTCTCTCAATTAGAATCAGCATTTCACTTTCAGTGAACAATGCGGCGCTCAAGAAAACACCCGGATACGCAGTCAAGCTTAGTTTTACAGCCTATCTCTGCAGTCCATCATGCTCCACTCCTTTGCTCCACTTTAGGACAAGATCTCAGTCCTCCCGCTCTTTGTGCTTTTTGACTTTTTCTTTCATTTTATGTTCAGCCTAATCTCCAAGTGCACTTGCATTTGTCCAAGCAAAAGACCAGGCTCCCCAAAGACCGATATCCTAGCCTCTTGGAGAGAGAACACGGCAAAAAGATGCAAGAAAAGAAGAGAAAAGCTTACAGCACCTGGTATTCCCAGGCGGTCTCCCATCCAAGTACTAACCAGGCCCGACCCTGCTTAGCTTCCGAGATCGGACGAGATCGGGCGTGTTCAGGGTGGTATGGCCGTAAGCGATGACACAGGCTCCAAATGAGCTATTTGAACATGCTCCTGTGTGCTTCTCTCAATTAGAATCAGCATTTCACTTTCAGTGAACAATGCGGCGCTCAAGAAAACACCCGGATACGCAGTCAAGCTTAGTTTTACAGCCTATCTCTGCAGTCCATCATGCTCCACTCCTTTGCTCCACTTTAGGACAAGATCTCAGTCCTCCCGCTCTTTGTGCTTTTTGACTTTTTCTTTCATTTTATGTTCAGCCTAATCTCCAAGTGCACTTGCATTTGTCCAAGCAAAAGACCAGGCTCCCCAAAGACCGATATCCTAGCCTCTTGGAGAGAGAACACGGCAAAAAGATGCAAGAAAAAGAAGAAAAGCTTACAGCACCTGGTATTCCCAGGCGGTCTCCCATCCAAGTACTAACCAGGCCCGACCCTGCTTAGCTTCCGAGATCGGACGAGATCGGGCGTGTTCAGGGTGGTATGGCCGTAAGCGATGACACAGGCTCCAAATGAGCTATTTGAACATGCTCCTGTGTGCTTCTCTCAATTAGAATCAGCATTTCACTTTCAGTGAACAATGCGGCGCTCAAGAAAACACCCGGATACGCAGTCAAGCTTAGTTTTACAGCCTATCTCTGCAGTCCATCATGCTCCACTCCTTTGCTCCACTTTAGGACAAGATCTCAGTCCTCCCGCTCTTTGTGCTTTTTGACTTTTTCTTTCATTTTATGTTCAGCCTAATCTCCAAGTGCACTTGCATTTGTCCAAGCAAAAGACCAGGCTCCCCAAAGACCGATATCCTAGCCTCTTGGAGAGAGAACACGGCAAAAAGATGCAAGAAAAGAAGAGAAAAGCTTACAGCACCTGGTATTCCCAGGCGGTCTCCCATCCAAGTACTAACCAGGCCCGACCCTGCTTAGCTTCCGAGATCGGACGAGATCGGGCGTGTTCAGGGTGGTATGGCCGTAAGCGATGACACAGGCTCCAAATGAGCTATTTGAACATGCTCCTGTGTGCTTCTCTCAATTAGAATCAGCATTTCACTTTCAGTGAACAATGCGGCGCTCAAGAAAACACCCGGATACGCAGTCAAGCTTAGTTTTACAGCCTATCTCTGCAGTCCATCATGCTCCACTCCTTTGCTCCACTTTAGGACAAGATCTCAGTCCTCCCGCTCTTTGTGCTTTTTGACTTTTTCTTTCATTTTATGTTCAGCCTAATCTCCAAGTGCACTTGCATTTGTCCAAGCAAAAGACCAGGCTCCCCAAAGACCGATATCCTAGCCTCTTGGAGAGAGAACACGGCAAAAAGATGCAAGAAAAGAAGAGAAAAGCTTACAGCACCTGGTATTCCCAGGCGGTCTCCCATCCAAGTACTAACCAGGCCCGACCCTGCTTAGCTTCCGAGATCGGACGAGATCGGGCGTGTTCAGGGTGGTATGGCCGTAAGCGATGACACAGGCTCCAAATGAGCTATTTGAACATGCTCCTGTGTGCTTCTCTCAATTAGAATCAGCATTTCACTTTCAGTGAACAATGCGGCGCTCAAGAAAACACCCGGATACGCAGTCAAGCTTAGTTTTACAGCCTATCTCTGCAGTCCATCATGCTCCACTCCTTTGCTCCACTTTAGGACAAGATCTCAGTCCTCCCGCTCTTTGTGCTTTTTGACTTTTTCTTTCATTTTATGTTCAGCCTAATCTCCAAGTGCACTTGCATTTGTCCAAGCAAAAGACCAGGCTCCCCAAAGACCGATATCCTAGCCTCTTGGAGAGAGAACACGGCAAAAAGATGCAAGAAAAGAAGAGAAAAGCTTACAGCACCTGGTATTCCCAGGCGGTCTCCCATCCAAGTACTAACCAGGCCCGACCCTGCTTAGCTTCCGAGATCGGACGAGATCGGGCGTGTTCAGGGTGGTATGGCCGTAAGCGATGACACAGGCTCCAAATGAGCTATTTGAACATGCTCCTGTGTGCTTCTCTCAATTAGAATCAGCATTTCACTTTCAGTGAACAATGCGGCGCTCAAGAAAACACCCGGATACGCAGTCAAGCTTAGTTTTACAGCCTATCTCTGCAGTCCATCATGCTCCACTCCTTTGCTCCACTTTAGGACAAGATCTCAGTCCTCCCGCTCTTTGTGCTTTTTGACTTTTTCTTTCATTTTATGTTCAGCCTAATCTCCAAGTGCACTTGCATTTGTCCAAGCAAAAGACCAGGCTCCCCAAAGACCGATATCCTAGCCTCTTGGAGAGAGAACACGGCAAAAAGATGCAAGAAAAGAAGAGAAAAGCTTACAGCACCTGGTATTCCCAGGCGGTCTCCCATCCAAGTACTAACCAGGCCCGACCCTGCTTAGCTTCCGAGATCGGACGAGATCGGGCGTGTTCAGGGTGGTATGGCCGTAAGCGATGACACAGGCTCCAAATGAGCTATTTGAACATGCTCCTGTGTGCTTCTCTCAATTAGAATCAGCATTTCACTTTCAGTGAACAATGCGGCGCTCAAGAAAACACCCGGATACGCAGTCAAGCTTAGTTTTACAGCCTATCTCTGCAGTCCATCATGCTCCACTCCTTTGCTCCACTTTAGGACAAGATCTCAGTCCTCCCGCTCTTTGTGCTTTTTGACTTTTTCTTTCATTTTATGTTCAGCCTAATCTCCAAGTGCACTTGCATTTGTCCAAGCAAAAGACCAGGCTCCCCAAAGACCGATATCCTAGCCTCTTGGAGAGAGAACACGGCAAAAAGATGCAAGAAAAGAAGAGAAAAGCTTACAGCACCTGGTATTCCCAGGCGGTCTCCCATCCAAGTACTAACCAGGCCCGACCCTGCTTAGCTTCCGAGATCGGACGAGATCGGGCGTGTTCAGGGTGGTATGGCCGTAAGCGATGACACAGGCTCCAAATGAGCTATTTGAACATGCTCCTGTGTGCTTCTCTCAATTAGAATCAGCATTTCACTTTCAGTGAACAATGCGGCGCTCAAGAAAACACCCGGATACGCAGTCAAGCTTAGTTTTACAGCCTATCTCTGCAGTCCATCATGCTCCACTCCTTTGCTCCACTTTAGGACAAGATCTCAGTCCTCCCGCTCTTTGTGCTTTTTGACTTTTCTTTCATTTTATGTTCAGCCTAATCTCCAAGTGCACTTGCATTTGTCCAAGCAAAAGACCAGGCTCCCCAAAGACCGATATCCTAGCCTCTTGGAGAGAGAACACGGCAAAAAGATGCAAGAAAAGAAGAGAAAAGCTTACAGCACCTGGTATTCCCAGGCGGTCTCCCATCCAAGTACTAACCAGGCCCGACCCTGCTTAGCTTCCGAGATCGGACGAGATCGGGCGTGTTCAGGGTGGTATGGCCGTAAGCGATGACACAGGCTCCAAATGAGCTATTTGAACATGCTCCTGTGTGCTTCTCTCAATTAGAATCAGCATTTCACTTTCAGTGAACAATGCGGCGCTCAAGAAAACACCCGGATACGCAGTCAAGCTTAGTTTTACAGCCTATCTCTGCAGTCCATCATGCTCCACTCCTTTGCTCCACTTTAGGACAAGATCTCAGTCCTCCCGCTCTTTGTGCTTTTTGACTTTTTCTTTCATTTTATGTTCAGCCTAATCTCCAAGTGCACTTGCATTTGTCCAAGCAAAAGACCAGGCTCCCCAAAGACCGATATCCTAGCCTCTTGGAGAGAGAACACGGCAAAAAGATGCAAGAAAAGAAGAGAAAAGCTTACAGCACCTGGTATTCCCAGGCGGTCTCCCATCCAAGTACTAACCAGGCCCGACCCTGCTTAGCTTCCGAGATCGGACGAGATCGGGCGTGTTCAGGGTGGTATGGCCGTAAGCGATGACACAGGCTCCAAATGAGCTATTTGAACATGCTCCTGTGTGCTTCTCTCAATTAGAATCAGCATTTCACTTTCAGTGAACAATGCGGCGCTCAAGAAAACACCCGGATACGCAGTCAAGCTTAGTTTTACAGCCTATCTCTGCAGTCCATCATGCTCCACTCCTTTGCTCCACTTTAGGACAAGATCTCAGTCCTCCCGCTCTTTGTGCTTTTTGACTTTTTCTTTCATTTTATGTTCAGCCTAATCTCCAAGTGCACTTGCATTTGTCCAAGCAAAGACCAGGCTCCCCAAAGACCGATATCCTAGCCTCTTGGAGAGAGAACACGGCAAAAAGATGCAAGAAAGAAAAGAAAAGCTTACAGCACCTGGTATTCCCAGGCGGTCTCCCATCCAAGTACTAACCAGGCCCGACCCTGCTTAGCTTCCGAGATCGGACGAGATCGGGCGTGTTCAGGGTGGTATGGCCGTAAGCGATGACACAGGCTCCAAATGAGCTATTTGAACATGCTCCTGTGTGCTTCTCTCAATTAGAATCAGCATTTCACTTTCAGTGAACAATGCGGCGCTCAAGAAAACACCCGGATACGCAGTCAAGCTTAGTTTTACAGCCTATCTCTGCAGTCCATCATGCTCCACTCCTTTGCTCCACTTTAGGACAAGATCTCAGTCCTCCCGCTCTTTGTGCTTTTTGACTTTTTCTTTCATTTTATGTTCAGCCTAATCTCCAAGTGCACTTGCATTTGTCCAAGCAAAAGACCAGGCTCCCCAAAGACCGATATCCTAGCCTCTTGGAGAGAGAACACGGCAAAAAGATGCAAGAAAAGAAGAGAAAAGCTTACAGCACCTGGTATTCCCAGGCGGTCTCCCATCCAAGTACTAACCAGGCCCGACCCTGCTTAGCTTCCGAGATCGGACGAGATCGGGCGTGTTCAGGGTGGTATGGCCGTAAGCGATGACACAGGCTCCAAATGAGCTATTTGAACATGCTCCTGTGTGCTTCTCTCAATTAGAATCAGCATTTCACTTTCAGTGAACAATGCGGCGCTCAAGAAAACACCCGGATACGCAGTCAAGCTTAGTTTTACAGCCTATCTCTGCAGTCCATCATGCTCCACTCCTTTGCTCCACTTTAGGACAAGATCTCAGTCCTCCCGCTCTTTGTGCTTTTTGACTTTTTCTTTCATTTTATGTTCAGCCTAATCTCCAAGTGCACTTGCATTTGTCCAAGCAAAAGACCAGGCTCCCCAAAGACCGATATCCTAGCCTCTTGGAGAGAGAACACGGCAAAAAGATGCAAGAAAAGAAGAGAAAAGCTTACAGCACCTGGTATTCCCAGGCGGTCTCCCATCCAAGTACTAACCAGGCCCGACCCTGCTTAGCTTCCGAGATCGGACGAGATCGGGCGTGTTCAGGGTGGTATGGCCGTAAGCGATGACACAGGCTCCAAATGAGCTATTTGAACATGCTCCTGTGTGCTTCTCTCAATTAGAATCAGCATTTCACTTTCAGTGAACAATGCGGCGCTCAAGAAAACACCCGGATACGCAGTCAAGCTTAGTTTTACAGCCTATCTCTGCAGTCCATCATGCTCCACTCCTTTGCTCCACTTTAGGACAAGATCTCAGTCCTCCCGCTCTTTGTGCTTTTTGACTTTTTCTTTCATTTTATGTTCAGCCTAATCTCCAAGTGCACTTGCATTTGTCCAAGCAAAAGACCAGGCTCCCCAAAGACCGATATCCTAGCCTCTTGGAGAGAGAACACGGCAAAAAGATGCAAGAAAAGAAGAGAAAAGCTTACAGCACCTGGTATTCCCAGGCGGTCTCCCATCCAAGTACTAACCAGGCCCGACCCTGCTTAGCTTCCGAGATCGGACGAGATCGGGCGTGTTCAGGGTGGTATGGCCGTAAGCGATGACACAGGCTCCAAATGAGCTATTTGAACATGCTCCTGTGTGCTTCTCTCAATTAGAATCAGCATTTCACTTTCAGTGAACAATGCGGCGCTCAAGAAAACACCCGGATACGCAGTCAAGCTTAGTTTTACAGCCTATCTCTGCAGTCCATCATGCTCCACTCCTTTGCTCCACTTTAGGACAAGATCTCAGTCCTCCCGCTCTTTGTGCTTTTTTGACTTTTTCTTTCATTTATCTTGAAGGCTATAATCTCCAAGTGCACTTGCATTTGTCCAAGCAAAAGACCAGGCTCCCCAAAGACCGATATCCTAGCCTCTTGGAGAGAGAACACGGCAAAAAGATGCAAGAAAAAAGAAAAGCTTACAGCACCTGGTATTCCCAGGCGGTCTCCCATCCAAGTACTAACCAGGCCCGACCCTGCTTAGCTTCCGAGATCGGACGAGATCGGGCGTGTTCAGGGTGGTATGGCCGTAAGCGATGACACAGGCTCCAAATGAGCTATTTGAACATGCTCCTGTGTGCTTCTCTCAATTAGAATCAGCATTTCACTTTCAGTGAACAATGCGGCGCTCAAGAAAACACCCGGATACGCAGTCAAGCTTAGTTTTACAGCCTATCTCTGCAGTCCATCATGCTCCACTCCTTTGCTCCACTTTAGGACAAGATCTCAGTCCTCCCGCTCTTTGTGCTTTTTGACTTTTTCTTTCATTTTATGTTCAGCCTAATCTCCAAGTGCACTTGCATTTGTCCAAGCAAAAGACCAGGCTCCCCAAAGACCGATATCCTAGCCTCTTGGAGAGAGAACACGGCAAAAAGATGCAAGAAAAGAAGAGAAAAGCTTACAGCACCTGGTATTCCCAGGCGGTCTCCCATCCAAGTACTAACCAGGCCCGACCCTGCTTAGCTTCCGAGATCGGACGAGATCGGGCGTGTTCAGGGTGGTATGGCCGTAAGCGATGACACAGGCTCCAAATGAGCTATTTGAACATGCTCCTGTGTGGTTCTCTCAATTAGAATCAGCATTTCACTTTCAGTGAACAATGCGGCGCTCAAGAAAACACCCGGATACGCAGTCAAGCTTAGTTTTACAGCCTATCTCTGCAGTCCATCATGCTCCACTCCTTTGCTCCACTTTAGGACAAGATCTCAGTCCTCCCGCTCTTTGTGCTTTTTGACTTTTTCTTTCATTTTATGTTCAGCCTAATCTCCAAGTGCACTTGCATTTGTCCAAGCAAAAGACCAGGCTCCCCAAAGACCGATATCCTAGCCTCTTGGAGAGAGAACACGGCAAAAAGATGCAAGAAAAGAAGAGAAAAGCTTACAGCACCTGGTATTCCCAGGCGGTCTCCCATCCAAGTACTAACCAGGCCCGACCCTGCTTAGCTTCCGAGATCGGACGAGATCGGGCGTGTTCAGGGTGGTATGGCCGTAAGCGATGACACAGGCTCCAAATGAGCTATTTGAACATGCTCCTGTGTGCTTCTCTCAATTAGAATCAGCATTTCACTTTCAGTGAACAATGCGGCGCTCAAGAAAACACCCGGATACGCAGTCAAGCTTAGTTTTACAGCCTATCTCTGCAGTCCATCATGCTCCACTCCTTTGCTCCACTTTAGGACAAGATCTCAGTCCTCCCGCTCTTTGTGCTTTTTGACTTTTTCTTTCATTTTATGTTCAGCCTAATCTCCAAGTGCACTTGCATTTGTCCAAGCAAAAGACCAGGCTCCCCAAAGACCGATATCCTAGCCTCTTGGAGAGAGAACACGGCAAAAAGATGCAAGAAAAGAAGAGAAAAGCTTACAGCACCTGGTATTCCCAGGCGGTCTCCCATCCAAGTACTAACCAGGCCCGACCCTGCTTAGCTTCCGAGATCGGACGAGATCGGGCGTGTTCAGGGTGGTATGGCCGTAAGCGATGACACAGGCTCCAAATGAGCTATTTGAACATGCTCCTGTGTGCTTCTCTCAATTAGAATCAGCATTTCACTTTCAGTGAACAATGCGGCGCTCAAGAAAACACCCGGATACGCAGTCAAGCTTAGTTTTACAGCCTATCTCTGCAGTCCATCATGCTCCACTCCTTTGCTCCACTTTAGGACAAGATCTCAGTCCTCCCGCTCTTTGTGCTTTTTGACTTTTTCTTTCATTTTATGTTCAGCCTAATCTCCAAGTGCACTTGCATTTGTCCAAGCAAAGACCAGGCTCCCCAAAGACCGATATCCTAGCCTCTTGGAGAGAGAACACGGCAAAAAGATGCAAGAAAAGAAAAGAAAAGCTTACAGCACCTGGTATTCCCAGGCGGTCTCCCATCCAAGTACTAACCAGGCCCGACCCTGCTTAGCTTCCGAGATCGGACGAGATCGGGCGTGTTCAGGGTGGTATGGCCGTAAGCGATGACACAGGCTCCAAATGAGCTATTTGAACATGCTCCTGTGTGCTTCTCTCAATTAGAATCAGCATTTCACTTTCAGTGAACAATGCGGCGCTCAAGAAAACACCCGGATACGCAGTCAAGCTTAGTTTTACAGCCTATCTCTGCAGTCCATCATGCTCCACTCCTTTGCTCCACTTTAGGACAAGATCTCAGTCCTCCCGCTCTTTGTGCTTTTTGACTTTTTCTTTCATTTTATGTTCAGCCTAATCTCCAAGTGCACTTGCATTTGTCCAAGCAAAAGACCAGGCTCCCCAAAGACCGATATCCTAGCCTCTTGGAGAGAGAACACGGCAAAAAGATGCAAGAAAAGAAGAGAAAAGCTTACAGCACCTGGTATTCCCAGGCGGTCTCCCATCCAAGTACTAACCAGGCCCGACCCTGCTTAGCTTCCGAGATCGGACGAGATCGGGCGTGTTCAGGGTGGTATGGCCGTAAGCGATGACACAGGCTCCAAATGAGCTATTTGAACATGCTCCTGTGTGCTTCTCTCAATTAGAATCAGCATTTCACTTTCAGTGAACAATGCGGCGCTCAAGAAAACACCCGGATACGCAGTCAAGCTTAGTTTTACAGCCTATCTCTGCAGTCCATCATGCTCCACTCCTTTGCTCCACTTTAGGACAAGATCTCAGTCCTCCCGCTCTTTGTGCTTTTTGACTTTTTCTTTCATTTTATGTTCAGCCTAATCTCCAAGTGCACTTGCATTTGTCCAAGCAAAAGACCAGGCTCCCCAAAGACCGATATCCTAGCCTCTTGGAGAGAGAACACGGCAAAAAGATGCAAGAAAAGAAGAGAAAAGCTTACAGCACCTGGTATTCCCAGGCGGTCTCCCATCCAAGTACTAACCAGGCCCGACCCTGCTTAGCTTCCGAGATCGGACGAGATCGGGCGTGTTCAGGGTGGTATGGCCGTAAGCGATGACACAGGCTCCAAATGAGCTATTTGAACATGCTCCTGTGTGCTTCTCTCAATTAGAATCAGCATTTCACTTTCAGTGAACAATGCGGCGCTCAAGAAAACACCCGGATACGCAGTCAAGCTTAGTTTTACAGCCTATCTCTGCAGTCCATCATGCTCCACTCCTTTGCTCCACTTTAGGACAAGATCTCAGTCCTCCCGCTCTTTGTGCTTTTTGACTTTTTCTTTCATTTTATGTTCAGCCTAATCTCCAAGTGCACTTGCATTTGTCCAAGCAAAAGACCAGGCTCCCCAAAGACCGATATCCTAGCCTCTTGGAGAGAGAACACGGCAAAAAGATGCAAGAAAAGAAGAGAAAAGCTTACAGCACCTGGTATTCCCAGGCGGTCTCCCATCCAAGTACTAACCAGGCCCGACCCTGCTTAGCTTCCGAGATCGGACGAGATCGGGCGTGTTCAGGGTGGTATGGCCGTAAGCGATGACACAGGCTCCAAATGAGCTATTTGAACATGCTCCTGTGTGCTTCTCTCAATTAGAATCAGCATTTCACTTTCAGTGAACAATGCGGCGCTCAAGAAAACACCCGGATACGCAGTCAAGCTTAGTTTTACAGCCTATCTCTGCAGTCCATCATGCTCCACTCCTTTGCTCCACTTTAGGACAAGATCTCAGTCCTCCCGCTCTTTGTGCTTTTTGACTTTTTCTTTCATTTTATGTTCAGCCTAATCTCCAAGTGCACTTGCATTTGTCCAAGCAAAAGACCAGGCTCCCCAAAGACCGATATCCTAGCCTCTTGGAGAGAGAACACGGCAAAAAGATGCAAGAAAAGAAGAGAAAAGCTTACAGCACCTGGTATTCCCAGGCGGTCTCCCATCCAAGTACTAACCAGGCCCGACCCTGCTTAGCTTCCGAGATCGGACGAGATCGGGCGTGTTCAGGGTGGTATGGCCGTAAGCGATGACACAGGCTCCAAATGAGCTATTTGAACATGCTCCTGTGTGCTTCTCTCAATTAGAATCAGCATTTCACTTTCAGTGAACAATGCGGCGCTCAAGAAAACACCCGGATACGCAGTCAAGCTTAGTTTTACAGCCTATCTCTGCAGTCCATCATGCTCCACTCCTTTGCTCCACTTTAGGACAAGATCTCAGTCCTCCCGCTCTTTGTGCTTTTTGACTTTTTCTTTCATTTTATGTTCAGCCTAATCTCCAAGTGCACTTGCATTTGTCCAAGCAAAAGACCAGGCTCCCCAAAGACCGATATCCTAGCCTCTTGGAGAGAGAACACGGCAAAAAGATGCAAGAAAAGAAGAGAAAAGCTTACAGCACCTGGTATTCCCAGGCGGTCTCCCATCCAAGTACTAACCAGGCCCGACCCTGCTTAGCTTCCGAGATCGGACGAGATCGGGCGTGTTCAGGGTGGTATGGCCGTAAGCGATGACACAGGCTCCAAATGAGCTATTTGAACATGCTCCTGTGTGCTTCTCTCAATTAGAATCAGCATTTCACTTTCAGTGAACAATGCGGCGCTCAAGAAAACACCCGGATACGCAGTCAAGCTTAGTTTTACAGCCTATCTCTGCAGTCCATCATGCTCCACTCCTTTGCTCCACTTTAGGACAAGATCTCAGTCCTCCCGCTCTTTGTGCTTTTTGACTTTTTCTTTCATTTTATGTTCAGCCTAATCTCCAAGTGCACTTGCATTTGTCCAAGCAAAAGACCAGGCTCCCCAAAGACCGATATCCTAGCCTCTTGGAGAGAGAACACGGCAAAAAGATGCAAGAAAAGAAGAGAAAAGCTTACAGCACCTGGTATTCCCAGGCGGTCTCCCATCCAAGTACTAACCAGGCCCGACCCTGCTTAGCTTCCGAGATCGGACGAGATCGGGCGTGTTCAGGGTGGTATGGCCGTAAGCGATGACACAGGCTCCAAATGAGCTATTTGAACATGCTCCTGTGTGCTTCTCTCAATTAGAATCAGCATTTCACTTTCAGTGAACAATGCGGCGCTCAAGAAAACACCCGGATACGCAGTCAAGCTTAGTTTTACAGCCTATCTCTGCAGTCCATCATGCTCCACTCCTTTGCTCCACTTTAGGACAAGATCTCAGTCCTCCCGCTCTTTGTGCTTTTTGACTTTTTCTTTCATTTTATGTTCAGCCTAATCTCCAAGTGCACTTGCATTTGTCCAAGCAAAAGACCAGGCTCCCCAAAGACCGATATCCTAGCCTCTTGGAGAGAGAACACGGCAAAAAGATGCAAGAAAAGAAGAGAAAAGCTTACAGCACCTGGTATTCCCAGGCGGTCTCCCATCCAAGTACTAACCAGGCCCGACCCTGCTTAGCTTCCGAGATCGGACGAGATCGGGCGTGTTCAGGGTGGTATGGCCGTAAGCGATGACACAGGCTCCAAATGAGCTATTTGAACATGCTCCTGTGTGCTTCTCTCAATTAGAATCAGCATTTCACTTTCAGTGAACAATGCGGCGCTCAAGAAAACACCCGGATACGCAGTCAAGCTTAGTTTTACAGCCTATCTCTGCAGTCCATCATGCTCCACTCCTTTGCTCCACTTTAGGACAAGATCTCAGTCCTCCCGCTCTTTGTGCTTTTTGACTTTTTCTTTCATTTTATGTTCAGCCTAATCTCCAAGTGCACTTGCATTTGTCCAAGCAAAAGACCAGGCTCCCCAAAGACCGATATCCTAGCCTCTTGGAGAGAGAACACGGCAAAAAGATGCAAGAAAAGAAGAGAAAAGCTTACAGCACCTGGTATTCCCAGGCGGTCTCCCATCCAAGTACTAACCAGGCCCGACCCTGCTTAGCTTCCGAGATCGGACGAGATCGGGCGTGTTCAGGGTGGTATGGCCGTAAGCGATGACACAGGCTCCAAATGAGCTATTTGAACATGCTCCTGTGTGCTTCTCTCAATTAGAATCAGCATTTCACTTTCAGTGAACAATGCGGCGCTCAAGAAAACACCCGGATACGCAGTCAAGCTTAGTTTTACAGCCTATCTCTGCAGTCCATCATGCTCCACTCCTTTGCTCCACTTTAGGACAAGATCTCAGTCCTCCCGCTCTTTGTGCTTTTTGACTTTTTCTTTCATTTTATGTTCAGCCTAATCTCCAAGTGCACTTGCATTTGTCCAAGCAAAAGACCAGGCTCCCCAAAGACCGATATCCTAGCCTCTTGGAGAGAGAACACGGCAAAAAGATGCAAGAAAAGAAGAGAAAAGCTTACAGCACCTGGTATTCCCAGGCGGTCTCCCATCCAAGTACTAACCAGGCCCGACCCTGCTTAGCTTCCGAGATCGGACGAGATCGGGCGTGTTCAGGGTGGTATGGCCGTAAGCGATGACACAGGCTCCAAATGAGCTATTTGAACATGCTCCTGTGTGCTTCTCTCAATTAGAATCAGCATTTCACTTTCAGTGAACAATGCGGCGCTCAAGAAAACACCCGGATACGCAGTCAAGCTTAGTTTTACAGCCTATCTCTGCAGTCCATCATGCTCCACTCCTTTGCTCCACTTTAGGACAAGATCTCAGTCCTCCCGCTCTTTGTGCTTTTTGACTTTTTCTTTCATTTTATGTTCAGCCTAATCTCCAAGTGCACTTGCATTTGTCCAAGCAAAAGACCAGGCTCCCCAAAGACCGATATCCTAGCCTCTTGGAGAGAGAACACGGCAAAAAGATGCAAGAAAAGAAGAGAAAAGCTTACAGCACCTGGTATTCCCAGGCGGTCTCCCATCCAAGTACTAACCAGGCCCGACCCTGCTTAGCTTCCGAGATCGGACGAGATCGGGCGTGTTCAGGGTGGTATGGCCGTAAGCGATGACACAGGCTCCAAATGAGCTATTTGAACATGCTCCTGTGTGCTTCTCTCAATTAGAATCAGCATTTCACTTTCAGTGAACAATGCGGCGCTCAAGAAAACACCCGGATACGCAGTCAAGCTTAGTTTTACAGCCTATCTCTGCAGTCCATCATGCTCCACTCCTTTGCTCCACTTTAGGACAAGATCTCAGTCCTCCCGCTCTTTGTGCTTTTTGACTTTTTCTTTCATTTTATGTTCAGCCTAATCTCCAAGTGCACTTGCATTTGTCCAAGCAAAAGACCAGGCTCCCCAAAGACCGATATCCTAGCCTCTTGGAGAGAGAACACGGCAAAAAGATGCAAGAAAAAAGAGAAAAGCTTACAGCACCTGGTATTCCCAGGCGGTCTCCCATCCAAGTACTAACCAGGCCCGACCCTGCTTAGCTTCCGAGATCGGACGAGATCGGGCGTGTTCAGGGTGGTATGGCCGTAAGCGATGACACAGGCTCCAAATGAGCTATTTGAACATGCTCCTGTGTGCTTCTCTCAATTAGAATCAGCATTTCACTTTCAGTGAACAATGCGGCGCTCAAGAAAACACCCGGATACGCAGTCAAGCTTAGTTTTACAGCCTATCTCTGCAGTCCATCATGCTCCACTCCTTTGCTCCACTTTAGGACAAGATCTCAGTCCTCCCGCTCTTTGTGCTTTTTGACTTTTTCTTTCATTTTATGTTCAGCCTAATCTCCAAGTGCACTTGCATTTGTCCAAGCAAAAGACCAGGCTCCCCAAAGACCGATATCCTAGCCTCTTGGAGAGAGAACACGGCAAAAAGATGCAAGAAAAAAGAGAAAAGCTTACAGCACCTGGTATTCCCAGGCGGTCTCCCATCCAAGTACTAACCAGGCCCGACCCTGCTTAGCTTCCGAGATCGGACGAGATCGGGCGTGTTCAGGGTGGTATGGCCGTAAGCGATGACACAGGCTCCAAATGAGCTATTTGAACATGCTCCTGTGTGCTTCTCTCAATTAGAATCAGCATTTCACTTTCAGTGAACAATGCGGCGCTCAAGAAAACACCCGGATACGCAGTCAAGCTTAGTTTTACAGCCTATCTCTGCAGTCCATCATGCTCCACTCCTTTGCTCCACTTTAGGACAAGATCTCAGTCCTCCCGCTCTTTGTGCTTTTTGACTTTTTCTTTCATTTTATGTTCAGCCTAATCTCCAAGTGCACTTGCATTTGTCCAAGCAAAAGACCAGGCTCCCCAAAGACCGATATCCTAGCCTCTTGGAGAGAGAACACGGCAAAAAGATGCAAGAAAAGAAGAAAAGCTTACAGCACCTGGTATTCCCAGGCGGTCTCCCATCCAAGTACTAACCAGGCCCGACCCTGCTTAGCTTCCGAGATCGGACGAGATCGGGCGTGTTCAGGGTGGTATGGCCGTAAGCGATGACACAGGCTCCAAATGAGCTATTTGAACATGCTCCTGTGTGCTTCTCTCAATTAGAATCAGCATTTCACTTTCAGTGAACAATGCGGCGCTCAAGAAAACACCCGGATACGCAGTCAAGCTTAGTTTTACAGCCTATCTCTGCAGTCCATCATGCTCCACTCCTTTGCTCCACTTTAGGACAAGATCTCAGTCCTCCCGCTCTTTGTGCTTTTTGACTTTTTCTTTCATTTTATGTTCAGCCTAATCTCCAAGTGCACTTGCATTTGTCCAAGCAAAAGACCAGGCTCCCCAAAGACCGATATCCTAGCCTCTTGGAGAGAGAACACGGCAAAAAGATGCAAGAAAAGAAGAGAAAAGCTTACAGCACCTGGTATTCCCAGGCGGTCTCCCATCCAAGTACTAACCAGGCCCGACCCTGCTTAGCTTCCGAGATCGGACGAGATCGGGCGTGTTCAGGGTGGTATGGCCGTAAGCGATGACACAGGCTCCAAATGAGCTATTTGAACATGCTCCTGTGTGCTTCTCTCAATTAGAATCAGCATTTCACTTTCAGTGAACAATGCGGCGCTCAAGAAAACACCCGGATACGCAGTCAAGCTTAGTTTTACAGCCTATCTCTGCAGTCCATCATGCTCCACTCCTTTGCTCCACTTTAGGACAAGATCTCAGTCCTCCCGCTCTTTGTGCTTTTTGACTTTTTCTTTCATTTTATGTTCAGCCTAATCTCCAAGTGCACTTGCATTTGTCCAAGCAAAAGACCAGGCTCCCCAAAGACCGATATCCTAGCCTCTTGGAGAGAGAACACGGCAAAAAGATGCAAGAAAAGAAGAGAAAAGCTTACAGCACCTGGTATTCCCAGGCGGTCTCCCATCCAAGTACTAACCAGGCCCGACCCTGCTTAGCTTCCGAGATCGGACGAGATCGGGCGTGTTCAGGGTGGTATGGCCGTAAGCGATGACACAGGCTCCAAATGAGCTATTTGAACATGCTCCTGTGTGCTTCTCTCAATTAGAATCAGCATTTCACTTTCAGTGAACAATGCGGCGCTCAAGAAAACACCCGGATACGCAGTCAAGCTTAGTTTTACAGCCTATCTCTGCAGTCCATCATGCTCCACTCCTTTGCTCCACTTTAGGACAAGATCTCAGTCCTCCCGCTCTTTGTGCTTTTTGACTTTTTCTTTCATTTTATGTTCAGCCTAATCTCCAAGTGCACTTGCATTTGTCCAAGCAAAAGACCAGGCTCCCCAAAGACCGATATCCTAGCCTCTTGGAGAGAGAACACGGCAAAAAGATGCAAGAAAAGAAGAGAAAAGCTTACAGCACCTGGTATTCCCAGGCGGTCTCCCATCCAAGTACTAACCAGGCCCGACCCTGCTTAGCTTCCGAGATCGGACGAGATCGGGCGTGTTCAGGGTGGTATGGCCGTAAGCGATGACACAGGCTCCAAATGAGCTATTTGAACATGCTCCTGTGTGCTTCTCTCAATTAGAATCAGCATTTCACTTTCAGTGAACAATGCGGCGCTCAAGAAAACACCCGGATACGCAGTCAAGCTTAGTTTTACAGCCTATCTCTGCAGTCCATCATGCTCCACTCCTTTGCTCCACTTTAGGACAAGATCTCAGTCCTCCCGCTCTTTGTGCTTTTTGACTTTTCTTTCATTTTATGTTCAGCCTAATCTCCAAGTGCACTTGCATTTGTCCAAGCTAAAGACCAGGCTCCCCAAAGACCGATATCCTAGCCTCTTGGAGAGAGAACACGGCAAAAGATGCAAGAAAAAAGAAAAGCTTACAGCACCTGGTATTCCCAGGCGGTCTCCCATCCAAGTACTAACCAGGCCCGACCCTGCTTAGCTTCCGAGATCGGACGAGATCGGGCGTGTTCAGGGTGGTATGGCCGTAAGCGATGACACAGGCTCCAAATGAGCTATTTGAACATGCTCCTGTGTGCTTCTCTCAATTAGAATCAGCATTTCACTTTCAGTGAACAATGCGGCGCTCAAGAAAACACCCGGATACGCAGTCAAGCTTAGTTTTACAGCCTATCTCTGCAGTCCATCATGCTCCACTCCTTTGCTCCGCTTCAGGACAAGATCTCAGTCCTCCCGCTCTTTGTGCTTTTTGACTTTTTCTTTCATTTTATCTTCAGCCTAATCTCCAAGTGCATTTGCATTGGTCCAAGCAAAAGACCAGGCTCCCCAAAGACCCATATCCTAGCCTCTTGGAGAGAGAACACGGCAAAAGATGCAAGAAAAGAAGAGAAAAGCTTACAGCACCTGGTATTCCCAGGCGGTCTCCCATCCAAGTACTAACCAGGCCCGACCCTGCTTAGCTTCCGAGATCGGACGAGATCGGGCGTGTTCAGGGTGGTATGGCCGTAAGCGATGACACAGGCTCCAAATGAGCTATTTGAACATGCTCCTGTGTGCTTCTCTCAATTAGAATCAGCATTTCACTTTCAGTGAACAATGCGTCGCTCAAGAAAACACCCGGATACGCAGTCAAGCTTAGTTTTACAGCCTATCTCTGCAGTCCATCATGCTCCACTCCTTTGCTCCACTTTAGGACAAGATCTCAGTCCTCCCGCTCTTTGTGCTTTTTGACTTTTTCTTTCATTTTATCTTCAGGCTAATCTCCAAGTGCACTTGCATTTGTCCAAGCAAAAGACCAGGCTCCCCAAAGACCGATATCCTAGCCTCTTGGAGAGAGAACACGGCAAAAGATGCAAGAAAAGAAAGAAAAGCTTACAGCACCTGGTATTCCCAGGCGGTCTCCCATCCAAGTACTAACCAGGCCCGACCCTGCTTAGCTTCCGAGATCGGACGAGATCGGGCGTGTTCAGGGTGGTATGGCCGTAAGCGATGACACAGGCTCCAAATGAGCTATTTGAACATGCTCCTGTGTGCTTCTCTCAATTAGAATCAGCATTTCACTTTCAGTGAACAATGCGGCGCTCAAGAAAACACCCGGATACGCAGTCAAGCTTAGTTTTACAGCCTATCTCTGCAGTCCATCATGCTCCACTCCTTTGCTCCACTTCATGACAAGATCTCAGTCCTCCCGCTCTTTGTGCTTTTTGACTTTTTCTTTCATTTTATCTTGAAGCCTAATCTCCAAGTGTACTTGCATTTGTCCAAGCAAAAGACCAGGCTCCCCAAAGACCCATATCCTAGCCTCTTGGAGAGAGAACACGGCACAAGATACAAGAAAAAAAGAAAAGCTTACAGCACCTGGTATTCCCAGGCGGTCTCCCATCCAAGTACTAACCAGGCCCGACCCTGCTTAGCTTCCGAGATCGGACGAGATCGGGCGTGTTCAGGGTGGTATGGCCGTAAGCGATGACACAGGCTCCAAATGAGCTATTTGAACATGCTCCTGTGTGCTTCTCTCAATTAGAATCAGCATTTCACTTTCAGTGAACAATGCGTCGCTCAAGAAAACACCCGGATACGCAGTCAAGCTTAGTTTTACAGCCTATCTCTGCAGTCCATCATGCTCCACTCCTTTGCTCCGCTTCATGACAAGATCTCAGTCCTCCCGCTCTTTGTGCTTTTTGACTTTTTCTTTCATTTTATGTTGAAGGCTAATCTCCAAGTGTATTTGCATTGGTCCAAGCTAAAGACCAGGCTCCCCAAAGACCCATATCCTAGCCTCTTGGAGAGAGAACACGGCACAAGATGCAAGAAAAGAAGAGAAAAGCTTACAGCACCTGGTATTCCCAGGCGGTCTCCCATCCAAGTACTAACCAGGCCCGACCCTGCTTAGCTTCCGAGATCGGACGAGATCGGGCGTGTTCAGGGTGGTATGGCCGTAAGCGATGACACAGGCTCCAAATGAGCTATTTGAACGTGCTCCTGTGTGGTTCTCTCAATTAGAATCAGCATTTCACTTTCAATGAACAATGCGTCGCTCAAGAAAACACCCGGATACGCAGTCAAGCTTAGTTTTACAGCCTATCTCTGCAGTCCATCATGCTCCACTCCTTTGCTCCACTTCATGACAAGATCTCAGTCCTCCCGCTCTTTGTGCTTTTTGACTTTTTCTTTCATTTATCTTGAAGCCTCATCTCCAAGTGCATTTGCATTGGTCCAAGCTAAAGACCAGGCTCCCCAAAGACCCATATCCTAGCCTCTTGGAGAGAGAACACGGCACAAGATGCAAGAAAAGAAGAGAAAAGCTTACAGCACCTGGTATTCCCAGGCGGTCTCCCATCCAAGTACTAACCAGGCCCGACCCTGCTTAGCTTCCGAGATCGGACGAGATCGGGCGTGTTCAGGGTGGTATGGCCGTAAGCGATGACACAGGCTCCAAATGAGCTATTTGAACGTGCTCCTGTGTGGCTTCTCTCAATTAGAATCAGCATTTCACTTTCAGTGAACAATGCGTCGCTCAAGAAAACACCCGGATACGCAGTCAAGCTTAGTTTTACAGCCTATCTCTGCAGTCCATCATGCTCCACTCCTTTGCTCCACTTCAGGACAAGATCTCAGTCCTCCCGCTCTTTGTGCTTTTTGACTTTTTCTTTCATTTATCTTGAAGGCTCATCTCCAAGTGTATTTGCATTGGTCCAAGCAAAAGACCAGGCTCCCCAAAGACCCATATCCTAGCCTCTTGGAGAGAGAACACGGCACAAGATGCAAGAAAAGAAAAAGCTTACAGCACCTGGTATTCCCAGGCGGTCTCCCATCCAAGTACTAACCAGGCCCGACCCTGCTTAGCTTCCGAGATCGGACGAGATCGGGCGTGTTCAGGGTGGTATGGCCGTAAGCGATGACACAGGCTCCAAATGAGCTATTTGAACATGCTCCTGTGTGGTTCTCTCAATTAGAATCAGCATTTCACTTTCAGTGAACAATGCGGCGCTCAAGAAAACACCCGGATACGCAGTCAAGCTTAGTTTTACAGCCTATCTCTGCAGTCCATCATGCTCCACTCCTTTGCTCCGCTTCATGACAAGATCTCAGTCCTCCCGCTCTTTGTGCTTTTTGACTTTTTCTTTCATTTATCTTGAAGCCTAATCTCCAAGTGTATTTGCATTGGTCCAAGCTAAAGACCAGGCTCCCCAAAGACCCATATCCTAGCCTCTTGGAGAGAGAACACGGCACAAGATGCACAAAAAAAGAAAAGCTTACAGCACCTGGTATTCCCAGGCGGTCTCCCATCCAAGTACTAACCAGGCCCGACCCTGCTTAGCTTCCGAGATCGGACGAGATCGGGCGTGTTCAGGGTGGTATGGCCGTAAGCGATGACACAGGCTCCAAATGAGCTATTTGAACATGCTCCTGTGTGGCTTCTCTCAATTAGAATCAGCATTTCACTTTCAATGAACAATGCGTCGCTCAAGAAAACACCCGGATACGCAGTCAAGCTTAGTTTTACAGCCTATCTCTGCAGTCCATCATGCTCCACTCCTTTGCTCCACTTCATGACAAGATCTCAGTCCTCCCGCTCTTTGTGCTTTTTGACTTTTTCTTTCATTTTATGTTCAGCCTCATCTCCAAGTGTATTTGCATTGGTCCAAGCTAAAGACCAGGCTCCCCAAAGACCCATATCCTAGCCTCTTGGAGAGAGAACACGGCACAAGATACAAGAAAAGAAAAGCTTACAGCACCTGGTATTCCCAGGCGGTCTCCCATCCAAGTACTAACCAGGCCCGACCCTGCTTAGCTTCCGAGATCGGACGAGATCGGGCGTGTTCAGGGTGGTATGGCCGTAAGCGATGACACAGGCTCCAAATGAGCTATTTGAACATGCTCCTGTGTGGTTCTCTCAATTAGAATCAGCATTTCACTTTCAATGAACAATGCGTCGCTCAAGAAAACACCCGGATACGCAGTCAAGCTTAGTTTTACAGCCTATCTCTGCAGTCCATCATGCTCCACTCCTTTGCTCCACTTCATGACAAGATCTCAGTCCTCCCGCTCTTTGTGCTTTTTGACTTTTTCTTTCATTTATCTTGAAGCCTCATCTCCAAGTGTATTTGCATTGGTCCAAGCTAAAGACCAGGCTCCCCAAAGACCCATATCCTAGCCTCTTGGAGAGAGAACACGGCACAAGATACAAGAAAAGAAAAGCTTACAGCACCTGGTATTCCCAGGCGGTCTCCCATCCAAGTACTAACCAGGCCCGACCCTGCTTAGCTTCCGAGATCGGACGAGATCGGGCGTGTTCAGGGTGGTATGGCCGTAAGCGATGACACAGGCTCCAAATGAGCTATTTGAACATGCTCCTGTGTGGTTCTCTCAATTAGAATCAGCATTTCACTTTCAATGAACAATGCGTCGCTCAAGAAAACACCCGGATACGCAGTCAAGCTTAGTTTTACAGCCTATCTCTGCAGTCCATCATGCTCCACTCCTTTGCTCCGCTTCATGACAAGATCTCAGTCCTCCCGCTCTTTGTGCTTTTTTGACTTTTTCTTTCATTTTATGTTCAGCCTAATCTCCAAGTGCACTTGCATTTGTCCAAGCAAAAGACCAGGCTCCCCAAAGACCGATATCCTAGCCTCTTGGAGAGAGAACACGGCACAAGATGCAAGAAAAAAGAGAAAAGCTTACAGCACCTGGTATTCCCAGGCGGTCTCCCATCCAAGTACTAACCAGGCCCGACCCTGCTTAGCTTCCGAGATCGGACGAGATCGGGCGTGTTCAGGGTGGTATGGCCGTAAGCGATGACACAGGCTCCAAATGAGCTATTTGAACGTGCTCCTGTGTGGTTCTCTCAATTAGAATCAGCATTTCACTTTCAATGAACAATGCGTCGCTCAAGAAAACACCCGGATACGCAGTCAAGCTTAGTTTTACAGCCTATCTCTGCAGTCCATCATGCTCCACTCCTTTGCTCCGCTTCATGACAAGATCTCAGTCCTCCCGCTCTTTGTGCTTTTTTGACTTTTTCTTTCATTTATCTTGAAGGCTCTAATCTCCAAGTGTACTTGCATTGGTCCAAGCAAAAGACCAGGCTCCCCAAAGACCCATATCCTAGCCTCTTGGAGAGAGAACACGGCACAAGATGCAAGAAAAAAAGAAAAGCTTACAGCACCTGGTATTCCCAGGCGGTCTCCCATCCAAGTACTAACCAGGCCCGACCCTGCTTAGCTTCCGAGATCGGACGAGATCGGGCGTGTTCAGGGTGGTATGGCCGTAAGCGATGACACAGGCTCCAAATGAGCTATTTGAACATGCTCCTGTGTGGTTCTCTCAATTAGAATCAGTATTTCACTTTCAATGAACAATGCGTCGCTCAAGAAAACACCCGGATACGCAGTCAAGCTTAGTTTTACAGCCTATCTCTGCAGTCCATCATGCTCCACTCCTTTGCTCCACTTTAGGACAAGATCTCAGTCCTCCCGCTCTTTGTGCTTTTTGACTCTTTCTTTCATTTTATGTTCAGCCTAATCTCCAAGTGCACTTGCATTTGTCCAAGCTAAAGACCAGGCTCCCCAAAGACCCATATCCTAGCCTCTTGGAGAGAGAACACGGCACAAGATACAAGAAAAGAAAAGCTTACAGCACCTGGTATTCCCAGGCGGTCTCCCATCCAAGTACTAACCAGGCCCGACCCTGCTTAGCTTCCGAGATCGGACGAGATCGGGCGTGTTCAGGGTGGTATGGCCGTAAGCGATGACACAGGCTCCAAATGAGCTATTTGAACATGCTCCTGTGTGCTTCTCTCAATTAGAATCAGCATTTCACTTTCAGTGAACAATGCGGCGCTCAAGAAAACACCCGGATACGCAGTCAAGCTTAGTTTTACAGCCTATCTCTGCAGTCCATCATGCTCCACTCCTTTGCTCCACTTTAGGACAAGATCTCAGTCCTCCCGCTCTTTGTGCTTTTTGACTTTTTCTTTCATTTTATGTTCAGCCTCATCTCCAAGTGCATTTGCATTTGTCCAAGCAAAAGACCAGGCTCCCCAAAGACCGATATCCTAGCCTCTTGGAGAGAGAACACGGCAAAAGATACAAGAAAGAAAAGCTTACAGCACCTGGTATTCCCAGGCGGTCTCCCATCCAAGTACTAACCAGGCCCGACCCTGCTTAGCTTCCGAGATCGGACGAGATCGGGCGTGTTCAGGGTGGTATGGCCGTAAGCGATGACACAGGCTCCAAATGAGCTATTTGAACATGCTCCTGTGTGGTTCTCTCAATTAGAATCAGCATTTCACTTTCAGTGAACAATGCGGCGCTCAAGAAAACACCCGGATACGCAGTCAAGCTTAGTTTTACAGCCTATCTCTGCAGTCCATCATGCTCCACTCCTTTGCTCCACTTTAGGACAAGATCTCAGTCCTCCCGCTCTTTGTGCTTTTTGACTTTTTCTTTCATTTATCTTCAGCCTAATCTCCAAGTGTACTTGCATTTGTCCAAGCAAAAGACCAGGCTCCCCAAAGACCCATATCCTAGCCTCTTGGAGAGAGAACACGGCACAAGATACAAGAAAAGAAAAGCTTACAGCACCTGGTATTCCCAGGCGGTCTCCCATCCAAGTACTAACCAGGCCCGACCCTGCTTAGCTTCCGAGATCGGACGAGATCGGGCGTGTTCAGGGTGGTATGGCCGTAAGCGATGACACAGGCTCCAAATGAGCTATTTGAACATGCTCCTGTGTGGTTCTCTCAATTAGAATCAGCATTTCACTTTCAGTGAACAATGCGTCGCTCAAGAAAACACCCGGATACGCAGTCAAGCTTAGTTTTACAGCCTATCTCTGCAGTCCATCATGCTCCACTCCTTTGCTCCGCTTTAGGACAAGATCTCAGTCCTCCCGCTCTTTGTGCTTTTTGACTTTTTCTTTCATTTTATCTTGAAGGCTCATCTCCAAGTGTATTTGCATTGGTCCAAGCAAAAGACCAGGCTCCCCAAAGACCCATATCCTAGCCTCTTGGAGAGAGAACACGGCAAAAAGATGCAAGAAAAAAGAGAAAAGCTTACAGCACCTGGTATTCCCAGGCGGTCTCCCATCCAAGTACTAACCAGGCCCGACCCTGCTTAGCTTCCGAGATCGGACGAGATCGGGCGTGTTCAGGGTGGTATGGCCGTAAGCGATGACACAGGCTCCAAATGAGCTATTTGAACATGCTCCTGTGTGCTTCTCTCAATTAGAATCAGCATTTCACTTTCAGTGAACAATGCGTCGCTCAAGAAAACACCCGGATACGCAGTCAAGCTTAGTTTTACAGCCTATCTCTGCAGTCCATCATGCTCCACTCCTTTGCTCCACTTTAGGACAAGATCTCAGTCCTCCCGCTCTTTGTGCTTTTTGACTTTTTCTTTCATTTTATCTTCAGGCTCATCTCCAAGTGCACTTGCATTTGTCCAAGCTAAAGACCAGGCTCCCCAAAGACCCATATCCTAGCCTCTTGGAGAGAGAACACGGCACAAGATACAAGAAAAGAAAAGCTTACAGCACCTGGTATTCCCAGGCGGTCTCCCATCCAAGTACTAACCAGGCCCGACCCTGCTTAGCTTCCGAGATCGGACGAGATCGGGCGTGTTCAGGGTGGTATGGCCGTAAGCGATGACACAGGCTCCAAATGAGCTATTTGAACATGCTCCTGTGTGCTTCTCTCAATTAGAATCAGCATTTCACTTTCAATGAACAATGCGGCGCTCAAGAAAACACCCGGATACGCAGTCAAGCTTAGTTTTACAGCCTATCTCTGCAGTCCATCATGCTCCACTCCTTTGCTCCACTTCATGACAAGATCTCAGTCCTCCCGCTCTTTGTGCTTTTTGACTTTTTCTTTCATTTTATCTTCAGCCTAATCTCCAAGTGCATTTGCATTGGTCCAAGCAAAAGACCAGGCTCCCCAAAGACCCATATCCTAGCCTCTTGGAGAGAGAACACGGCACAAGATACAAGAAAAGAAAAGCTTACAGCACCTGGTATTCCCAGGCGGTCTCCCATCCAAGTACTAACCAGGCCCGACCCTGCTTAGCTTCCGAGATCGGACGAGATCGGGCGTGTTCAGGGTGGTATGGCCGTAAGCGATGACACAGGCTCCAAATGAGCTATTTGAACATGCTCCTGTGTGCTTCTCTCAATTAGAATCAGCATTTCACTTTCAGTGAACAATGCGTCGCTCAAGAAAACACCCGGATACGCAGTCAAGCTTAGTTTTACAGCCTATCTCTGCAGTCCATCATGCTCCACTCCTTTGCTCCACTTCAGGACAAGATCATCTCAGTCCTCCCGCTCTTTGTGCTTTTTGACTTTTTCTTTCATTTTATGTGAAGGCTCATCTCCAAGTGCACTTGCATTGGTCCAAGCAAAAGACCAGGCTCCCCAAAGACCGATATCCTAGCCTCTTGGAGAGAGAACACGGCAAAAGATGCAAGAAAAGAAAAGCTTACAGCACCTGGTATTCCCAGGCGGTCTCCCATCCAAGTACTAACCAGGCCCGACCCTGCTTAGCTTCCGAGATCGGACGAGATCGGGCGTGTTCAGGGTGGTATGGCCGTAAGCGATGACACAGGCTCCAAATGAGCTATTTGAACATGCTCCTGTGTGCTTCTCTCAATTAGAATCAGCATTTCACTTTCAGTGAACAATGCGTCGCTCAAGAAAACACCCGGATACGCAGTCAAGCTTAGTTTTACAGCCTATCTCTGCAGTCCATCATGCTCCACTCCTTTGCTCCACTTCATGACAAGATCTCAGTCCTCCCGCTCTTTGTGCTTTTTGACTTTTCTTTCATTTTCTTGTTCAGGCTCATCTCCAAGTGTACTTGCATTTGTCCAAGCAAAAGACCAGGCTCCCCAAAGACCCATATCCTAGCCTCTTGGAGAGAGAACACGGCACAAGATGCAAGAAAAAAGAGAAAAGCTTACAGCACCTGGTATTCCCAGGCGGTCTCCCATCCAAGTACTAACCAGGCCCGACCCTGCTTAGCTTCCGAGATCGGACGAGATCGGGCGTGTTCAGGGTGGTATGGCCGTAAGCGATGACACAGGCTCCAAATGAGCTATTTGAACATGCTCCTGTGTGGTTCTCTCAATTAGAATCAGCATTTCACTTTCAAGTGAACAATGCGTCGCTCAAGAAAACACCCGGATACGCAGTCAAGCTTAGTTTTACAGCCTATCTCTGCAGTCCATCATGCTCCACTCCTTTGCTCCGCTTCATGACAAGATCTCAGTCCTCCCGCTCTTTGTGCTTTTTGACTTTTTCTTTCATTTATCTTGAAGGCTCATCTCCAAGTGTATTTGCATTGGTCCAAGCTAAAGACCAGGCTCCCCAAAGACCCATATCCTAGCCTCTTGGAGAGAGAACACGGCACAAGATGCAAGAAAAGAAGAGAAAAGCTTACAGCACCTGGTATTCCCAGGCGGTCTCCCATCCAAGTACTAACCAGGCCCGACCCTGCTTAGCTTCCGAGATCGGACGAGATCGGGCGTGTTCAGGGTGGTATGGCCGTAAGCGATGACACAGGCTCCAAATGAGCTATTTGAACATGCTCCTGTGTGGTTCTCTCAATTAGAATCAGCATTTCACTTTCAATGAACAATGCGTCGCTCAAGAAAACACCCGGATACGCAGTCAAGCTTAGTTTTACAGCCTATCTCTGCAGTCCATCATGCTCCACTCCTTTGCTCCACTTCATGACAAGATCTCAGTCCTCCCGCTCTTTGTGCTTTTTGACTTTTCTTTCATTTATCTTGAAGGCTCATCTCCAAGTGCATTTGCATTGGTCCAAGCTAAAGACCAGGCTCCCCAAAGACCCATATCCTAGCCTCTTGGAGAGAGAACACGGCACAAGATACAAGAAAAGAAAAGCTTACAGCACCTGGTATTCCCAGGCGGTCTCCCATCCAAGTACTAACCAGGCCCGACCCTGCTTAGCTTCCGAGATCGGACGAGATCGGGCGTGTTCAGGGTGGTATGGCCGTAAGCGATGACACAGGCTCCAAATGAGCTATTTGAACGTGCTCCTGTGTGGTTCTCTCAATTAGAATCAGCATTTCACTTTCAATGAACAATGCGTCGCTCAAGAAAACACCCGGATACGCAGTCAAGCTTAGTTTTACAGCCTATCTCTGCAGTCCATCATGCTCCACTCCTTTGCTCCACTTCATGACAAGATCTCAGTCCTCCCGCTCTTTGTGCTTTTTGACTTTTTCTTTCATTTATCTTGAAGGCTCATCTCCAAGTGTATTTGCATTGGTCCAAGCTAAAGACCAGGCTCCCCAAAGACCCATATCCTAGCCTCTTGGAGAGAGAACACGGCACAAGATACAAGAAAAGAAAAAGCTTACAGCACCTGGTATTCCCAGGCGGTCTCCCATCCAAGTACTAACCAGGCCCGACCCTGCTTAGCTTCCGAGATCGGACGAGATCGGGCGTGTTCAGGGTGGTATGGCCGTAAGCGATGACACAGGCTCCAAATGAGCTATTTGAACGTGCTCCTGTGTGGTTCTCTCAATTAGAATCAGCATTTCACTTTCAATGAACAATGCGTCGCTCAAGAAAACACCCGGATACGCAGTCAAGCTTAGTTTTACAGCCTATCTCTGCAGTCCATCATGCTCCACTCCTTTGCTCCGCTTCATGACAAGATCTCAGTCCTCCCGCTCTTTGTGCTTTTTGACTTTTCTTTCATTTATCTTGAAGGCTCATCTCCAAGTGTATTTGCATTGGTCCAAGCTAAAGACCAGGCTCCCCAAAGACCCATATCCTAGCCTCTTGGAGAGAGAACACGGCACAAGATACAAGAAAAGAAAAGCTTACAGCACCTGGTATTCCCAGGCGGTCTCCCATCCAAGTACTAACCAGGCCCGACCCTGCTTAGCTTCCGAGATCGGACGAGATCGGGCGTGTTCAGGGTGGTATGGCCGTAAGCGATGACACAGGCTCCAAATGAGCTATTTGAACGTGCTCCTGTGTGGTTCTCTCAATTAGAATCAGCATTTCACTTTCAATGAACAATGCGTCGCTCAAGAAAACACCCGGATACGCAGTCAAGCTTAGTTTTACAGCCTATCTCTGCAGTCCATCATGCTCCACTCCTTTGCTCCGCTTCATGACAAGATCTCAGTCCTCCCGCTCTTTGTGCTTTTTGACTCTTTCTTTCATTTTATCTTGAAGGCTCATCTCCAAGTGTATTTGCATTGGTCCAAGCAAAAGACCAGGCTCCCCAAAGACCCATATCCTAGCCTCTTGGAGAGAGAACACGGCACAAGATACAAGAAAAGAAAAGCTTACAGCACCTGGTATTCCCAGGCGGTCTCCCATCCAAGTACTAACCAGGCCCGACCCTGCTTAGCTTCCGAGATCGGACGAGATCGGGCGTGTTCAGGGTGGTATGGCCGTAAGCGATGACACAGGCTCCAAATGAGCTATTTGAACGTGCTCCTGTGTGGTTCTCTCAATTAGAATCAGCATTTCACTTTCAATGAACAATGCGTCGCTCAAGAAAACACCCGGATACGCAGTCAAGCTTAGTTTTACAGCCTATCTCTGCAGTCCATCATGCTCCACTCCTTTGCTCCGCTTCATGACAAGATCTCAGTCCTCCCGCTCTTTGTGCTTTTTTGACTTTTTCTTTCATTTATCTTGAAGGCTCATCTCCAAGTGTATTTGCATTGGTCCAAGCTAAAGACCAGGCTCCCCAAAGACCCATATCCTAGCCTCTTGGAGAGAGAACACGGCACAAGATACAAGAAAAGAAAAGCTTACAGCACCTGGTATTCCCAGGCGGTCTCCCATCCAAGTACTAACCAGGCCCGACCTTGCTTAACTTCCGAGATCGGACGAGATCGGGCGTGTTTTTTTTTTTATCTTTTATTATCAAAAATATATTCACAAAATTCCATCTTTACAAATCACAGTCACAGTCCACAATAAAAAAAAAATAAACAACAGAATAGAAAAAACCTTTGGAAAAAAAAACAACATAAATTATATGAACCCAAACAATCTGCAAATTAAAATAAAAGAGCTTCATAAATTAAGTGTGATATTGTTTTGATGTACTGTAAAAAGAGTGTGTCCAGTGTTCAAAAGCTGATTGAAAGTGTCCGGGATGGCGAAGAAGCAGTTTTTCAGATGGTTCAGAAATAGGGTTTTGAAAAAAGGAAGCAGTGACAGAGTCCGGTTTTCGTATAAAGCATAGTTCCTGACAGTCCAGACTGAAAATCTTGTGTAGCTGAGGATGGTGTTGATGATGTGAGTATGCTGATGTGCAGAATTCTTTTAGTCCGAATAAAAAAAGCAAAGTCCATTCCGTGTCACTTCCACAGTGGAAATTGCAGGCGCTCTGTATTGTCCGCCGTATTGTGGAGTAGAAGGCTCTTACAAGACTACAATCCAAGAAGAGGTGCTCCAAATCTTCATCCTGTTCATTGCATTTTTTACATTTTCTTTCGTATTTTCCCTTGTTGATTTGATGCAGAACGATGCCTGTGAAAATCCTCCTGTGCTTAATTTTGAAATCTAGATGTTGTAGCGTTGGGGGAGTGAAGAGACCTCCCCCACTGGTCCATATTGATTTGGTGTTAAAACCCGGAAAGATTTGAGCCCAGATCTTTTCGGTAGTTGGAGTTCTTTTGATTTCGGCTATGAGGAGTTTGTACCATGCTTTTGTTTTAATCTCTTGCACTGGGACCGGGTTATTGTTTTGGCACAGGAGGAAATTCAAGTCATCGTTCTGCATCGAGATGTCTTTTGTCTGCATTATTCTTTCCCAAAACAGAATTACTGTATTTTTTATTTTTTCCGTAATTGACCTTATGCTGCATTTTCTGAAATTAATATTTTTGTTTTTTAGCACACCAAAAATAAAATCAAGTTTGACGCTAAAGTCATCATCCATTATATCTCTGATCCACAACAGACCAGCCTCCATCAGGTGTGAACTCGTTATTGTTTTCCCCTTATGCAAAAAACAAGGGTTTTTAAGGAAGGGTAATCGAAACACATCCTCTTTATTCCTGCATATCGGCATGAGGTGGGGCAGTAATTTGCCCCATGCCTCAACAATCTCCCGGTAGAACGGCTTAAGCTCACCAACTACCTTCTCCGGGTGAAGTATACACAGATTGCGTACGTCCCTCAGCCCGAAGTTGGACAATTGGCTTGCCAGCGCGTCCTCCCAGGGATAGTGCCTGTTTGGATCTAGAAATTTACTAATTAATTTTGCCCTGAGCGCATCTTTTTTGGCTCCAATATCAATCTGCCCTAAACCCCCCTCCCTTTTGTTAGCAATTAGCACTCTGTGAGCGATCAGATTTCCCTTTCCTCTCCACAAAAAGGAGGATATTACACTATTGAGTGAATTTAGCGCCCAATGCGGCAACTCACAGACCCCCATTATATGGTTGATTTTGGACAGTACTAGTGCATTTGTTACAATTACCCTTCCTTTTAGTGTTAAACCTCTGGCTTTCCAGAGATTGAGAATATTTTTTGTTTTGGTAATCACTATTTCCCAGTTGGTTCTTGTTGCTTCATTTTCGTTTTTCCCAACATAAACACCCAGGATTCTTTTTGGTTTGTTTACTTCTGCAAAGTTCCATTTATTTACGCTGTCAACATTTGATCCACAAAACATAATCTCGCTCTTTTCCAGGTTCATTTTCGCTCCAGCTACCTTCTCGTAATCATGAATGTGTTTCAAAACCTTATCGATACTATGGCTGTCTAAAACCATGATGTTTATGTCGTCTGCATACTGGGTTATTTTTGTTGTTCTGTTGTAACCTGTTGGTATTCCTTTAATGTCTTTGTCCTGTAGGATATGAAGAGCTAAGGGTTCTGCTACTATTGAATAGAGTAGTGCTGATAGTGGGCAACCTTGTCTAACTGATCTGTTTATTGTGAAAAATTCTGTGAGGAAACCATTAACCTTAATACAGCTTTTTGCATTATTGTAAAGAAGTTTTATCCAGTTGATGAATTTTGAACCGAAACCAAAAGCCTGTAGAATGTTGAAAAGAAAAGTGTGATCAACTCTGTCAAACGCTTTTTCAAGATCTATACTGAGCAGAAACCCTTTGTCTTTCTGCATGTTATGTATTGTTTCTTTTATGGTCAATATGGAATCACTGATGTCTCTTCCTGGTATGCTGTAAGATTGTGTACTATTTATGATGGAACCCGAAACCTGTTTTAGTCTATTTGCTAGAATTTTTGTTAGGATTTTGTAATCAGTATTCAGTAGACTGATGGGGCGGTAATTTTTGATAAGTTTATTGTCACCTTTTTTGAAAATTAGCGAGATTATTCCTTCGGTTAGCGTTGCAGGCACTCTTTTGTTATCCAACATATCTCTGTAAAGTTTATTCAGGAGCGGTGTAAGCTCCTCTTGGAACTTCACATAGAACTCTGCAGTCAGTCCATCTGAACCTGGACTTTTATTTTTGTTTAGCGCCTGTATGGCGTTTTTTATTTCTTCTTCAGTAATTTCTGAATCACACCAGTCTTTATCTTGTCTTTCAAGTTTTTTATTTATACATTTTATATATTCCGGTATTTCTTTTTCTTTTAAGTCCTTCTGTTTGGAGAAAAGCTGTTTGTAAAATTGATATGTATGGTCTAAGATTTCATCAGTTTCAAACAGCGTTTGTCCTTTATTGTCTGTTAGTTGATTGATGTATGATTTGTTCTGTTTCTTTTTTTCCAAGCCGAGAAAAAAGAAGTGCATTTTTCACCTTCTGTTGTGTATTTCACTTTGCTTCTAATGATTGCCCCTTTGCACTTCTTTATTTCTATGTTTCTTAATTGTTCTTTGTAAATTTCATATTGCTCACATGATCTGTGTATGTCAGTGTTTAGCAGTACAGTTTCATCTGCTAAAAATTTTTTTAATTTTTTTTCTTCTCTGGTTTCAAACCATTTTTTCCTCTTGCTGTAGTTTATGCAGGTTTTTTTTATTCTGTTTTTTATGTCATCCCATGAATCGGTTATGTTCTCTTTTTCAACTGTTTCTAGCTTTGATGTTTTCCAATAAATTTTTTATTTTATATATTAAAGCTTTGTCATTTAGGATGCTGGAGTTTAGACACCATATGCCAGCTCCTCTAGTTTTATTATCTATGCCTTGTTCCCATTGTAAAATATCGTGATCACTCCATACATTAGGTTTATACTGTATATTGTTAATTTCTTGAATAGTGTTTTTTGCAGCTAGTAAAAGATCAATCCTTGATTGTTTTAGTTTTCCTAGTACTGTCTGTTTTCTGGAGAAGTGGGTGCTATTTGTATTGTTAATTCTCCATAAATCCACCAGGTTGTGCTCTTGCATTATTTTTAGTAATTGTGTTCTGCTTGTGTCATTTCTGAATATATTGTTTGATGATAAGTCTATTTTGTTCAGCACTATGTTGAAATCCCCTACTATTATTGTATTATCATTTATCCATTTTACTATTTCTTTGAGTTGAAATAATCTCTCCCTTTCGTTGTTTTCACCATGAAAGTTTATAATTCTATATGTTTTATTTCTATACAAGATATCTATAATTAAAATTTTACCTCTTTTGTCTTTATAAATCTCTTTACTATGTTCTAGTAAGTTATTATTTATCATAACAGCTACCCCCCTGCTTTCCCCACCCCAAACCCCACAAAGATCTTCCCACAGTAAAGTTTTTGTATTTGAAGAAGGGTTTGAGGTGACCAGCCGGTTTCCTGTAGACAAATAATGTCTTGTTGAGTTGAGTTGAAAAAAGAGACCATTTTATGTGAGGAGCAGAGACCATTAATGTTTAGGGAGATAGCTGTGAACATTATAAGAAAGGAGAAGAGTGGTCTATAAATCATTCCTATTAATCTGAGAAGTCGAAATTTGGACTCAATCTAGGTCAATCAATTTTCCTTCTCCATGTTTTTTCCTGTCCTTCTTTTTCTTCCTAATTTCCACCACTTTACCATCTAAATCCGATTCCGATTCTGTCAGAGATGATGTGGGCTTCAGCTTTTCACACGGGCCGAGGTTTTCCCTTCCCGGCCCCACCGGCTGCGCTCTGCTGCCTGTCTTTGCCGCTTTTTTTCGCGGTGGCAGAAACTCAATTCCCTCTGCAAGGGCTGAAGGGGCTTCGGGGGTCTCCGGCGTAGCACGCGCTCTCAGAGCCCCGTCCGTCTCCCTCCCTCGCACATTTTTCTGTGCGGCTCTTGAGCTTGGACTCGGCTCGAAACCCTCACTTTGGGACCCACGAGCCTGGAGTTCCTCCTCCATGTCCACAGAGCTTTCAGCCACAATTACGCACGTCTCATCTGCCCCGTTTCCCTCACTTTCGACGCCACTCATGTGATCATCGTTAGTGGGAGAGCACTGTTGTTGTTCCCCACCCTCACTCTCAGAATTTCTGCAAATGCATCTCCCCATGTCATTAAAACAAATTGTGCACTTGACTGGTGCGTTTGCACACTCCCGTGCGTAATGGCCCTGCTCCCCACATTTATGACATATAAACTCTGGGCATTCTCTGAAAATATGGCCCGGTTGTATGCATAATCTGCATACTTTCACCTGTCTGTCATGTATGACCCTAAAAAATTCAGCACCTGTTGCAGTATTAAATTTTGCCGAGTAAGGCAGTGACTGGATGTCTTTTGTGAATTTTACCTTACAGTATCTTGTACCGTCGGCGATGTTTGTGCCGGGCCACATTCTCCTTTTTATCGGGGATACAGCTGAAACTCCCCACATTTGTAGTTTGTTCTGAATGTCCGAGTCCGGGATGTAAGCAGGCAGGTTCAAAAAAGAGACCACCAGCTCGTCATTTGAAAGCTCCCTCGCCCACACATTCACAGCTCCAATCTTTAGACCCTCCATCAGTCTCTCTTTTCCTTTCCCATGGTTCATCGTGACTTCGTATTTCCTCTCCCCGACATATCTGCATGCCACCACCGCTCCACACGCCAGCCTCACCGCCCTCAGAAGTTCCGTCACCGTCACTTTCTCTTGTCCCTCCAGCTCCAGCATCACTGTCAACTCCTTTCTATAATTCAATTGTAGATCGTCATTCTTCTTTTCTTTCTCCATATTCCTTTTTCCATCTCTTAAACTGTCCGTAGTCGAAACCGTGGGAATTTCTCTGCCGTTTTCCGTGTCTTTTACCATGTTGTCCATCTTGTGAGTCAGCGTTTGTGTGCCGCAGCACACTGAACGCCACGTCACCCAACAAAAAAAGGATCAAAAACTCCTCACCCCCAGGCAGTAGAAAACCCCTGCCAGGGGTACAAAACAAAAAAAGATACAAAATACCTACCACTATTTACGATCAAATATCTAACTTACCTAAAAAAACTTTTTTCACTTCTTTCCTCACAATCTCTCTGACTCAAAACTACCGTGTGCATGCACCAAAAAAATGGGCGTGTTCAGGGTGGTATGGCCGTAAGCGATGACACAGGCTCCAAATGAGCTATTTGAACGTGCTCCTGTGTGGTTCTCTCAATTAGAATCAGCATTTCACTTTCAATGAACAATGCGTCGCTCAAGAAAACACCCGGATACGCAGTCAAGCTTAGTTTTACAGCCTATCTCTGCAGTCCATCATGCTCCACTCCTTTGCTCCGCTTCATGACAAGATCTCAGTCCTCCCGCTCTTTGTGCTTTTTTGACTTTTTCTTTCATTTTATGTTCAGCCTAATCTCCAAGTGCACTTGCATTTGTCCAAGCAAAAGACCAGGCTCCCCAAAGACCGATATCCTAGCCTCTTGGAGAGAGAACACGGCAAAAAGATGCAAGAAAAGAAGAGAAAAGCTTACAGCACCTGGTATTCCCAGGCGGTCTCCCATCCAAGTACTAACCAGGCCCGACCCTGCTTAGCTTCCGAGATCGGACGAGATCGGGCGAGATCGGGCGTGTTCAGGGTGGTATGGCCGTAAGCGATGACACAGGCTCCAAATGAGCTATTTGAACATGCTCCTGTGTGCTTCTCTCAATTAGAATCAGCATTTCACTTTCAGTGAACAATGCGGCGCTCAAGAAAACACCCGGATACGCAGTCAAGCTTAGTTTTACAGCCTATCTCTGCAGTCCATCATGCTCCACTCCTTTGCTCCACTTTAGGACAAGATCTCAGTCCTCCCGCTCTTTGTGCTTTTTGACTTTTTCTTTCATTTTATGTTCAGCCTAATCTCCAAGTGCACTTGCATTTGTCCAAGCTAAAGACCAGGCTCCCCAAAGACCGATATCCTAGCCTCTTGGAGAGAGAACACGGCAAAAAGATGCAAGAAAAGAAGAGAAAAGCTTACAGCACCTGGTATTCCCAGGCGGTCTCCCATCCAAGTACTAACCAGGCCCGACCCTGCTTAGCTTCCGAGATCGGACGAGATCGGGCGTGTTCAGGGTGGTATGGCCGTAAGCGATGACACAGGCTCCAAATGAGCTATTTGAACATGCTCCTGTGTGCTTCTCTCAATTAGAATCAGCATTTCACTTTCAGTGAACAATGCGGCGCTCAAGAAAACACCCGGATACGCAGTCAAGCTTAGTTTTACAGCCTATCTCTGCAGTCCATCATGCTCCACTCCTTTGCTCCACTTTAGGACAAGATCTCAGTCCTCCCGCTCTTTGTGCTTTTTGACTTTTTCTTTCATTTTATGTTCAGGCTAATCTCCAAGTGCACTTGCATTTGTCCAAGCAAAAGACCAGGCTCCCCAAAGACCGATATCCTAGCCTCTTGGAGAGAGAACACGGCAAAAAGATGCAAGAAAAGAAGAGAAAAGCTTACAGCACCTGGTATTCCCAGGCGGTCTCCCATCCAAGTACTAACCAGGCCCGACCCTGCTTAGCTTCCGAGATCGGACGAGATCGGGCGTGTTCAGGGTGGTATGGCCGTAAGCGATGACACAGGCTCCAAATGAGCTATTTGAACATGCTCCTGTGTGCTTCTCTCAATTAGAATCAGCATTTCACTTTCAGTGAACAATGCGGCGCTCAAGAAAACACCCGGATACGCAGTCAAGCTTAGTTTTACAGCCTATCTCTGCAGTCCATCATGCTCCACTCCTTTGCTCCACTTTAGGACAAGATCTCAGTCCTCCCGCTCTTTGTGCTTTTTGACTTTTTCTTTCATTTTATGTTCAGCCTAATCTCCAAGTGCACTTGCATTTGTCCAAGCAAAAGACCAGGCTCCCCAAAGACCGATATCCTAGCCTCTTGGAGAGAGAACACGGCAAAAAGATGCAAGAAAAGAAGAGAAAAGCTTACAGCACCTGGTATTCCCAGGCGGTCTCCCATCCAAGTACTAACCAGGCCCGACCCTGCTTAGCTTCCGAGATCGGACGAGATCGGGCGTGTTCAGGGTGGTATGGCCGTAAGCGATGACACAGGCTCCAAATGAGCTATTTGAACATGCTCCTGTGTGCTTCTCTCAATTAGAATCAGCATTTCACTTTCAGTGAACAATGCGGCGCTCAAGAAAACACCCGGATACGCAGTCAAGCTTAGTTTTACAGCCTATCTCTGCAGTCCATCATGCTCCACTCCTTTGCTCCACTTTAGGACAAGATCTCAGTCCTCCCGCTCTTTGTGCTTTTTGACTTTTTCTTTCATTTTATGTTCAGCCTAATCTCCAAGTGCACTTGCATTTGTCCAAGCAAAAGACCAGGCTCCCCAAAGACCGATATCCTAGCCTCTTGGAGAGAGAACACGGCAAAAAGATGCAAGAAAAGAAGAGAAAAGCTTACAGCACCTGGTATTCCCAGGCGGTCTCCCATCCAAGTACTAACCAGGCCCGACCCTGCTTAGCTTCCGAGATCGGACGAGATCGGGCGTGTTCAGGGTGGTATGGCCGTAAGCGATGACACAGGCTCCAAATGAGCTATTTGAACATGCTCCTGTGTGCTTCTCTCAATTAGAATCAGCATTTCACTTTCAGTGAACAATGCGGCGCTCAAGAAAACACCCGGATACGCAGTCAAGCTTAGTTTTACAGCCTATCTCTGCAGTCCATCATGCTCCACTCCTTTGCTCCACTTTAGGACAAGATCTCAGTCCTCCCGCTCTTTGTGCTTTTTGACTTTTTCTTTCATTTTATGTTCAGCCTAATCTCCAAGTGCACTTGCATTTGTCCAAGCAAAAGACCAGGCTCCCCAAAGACCGATATCCTAGCCTCTTGGAGAGAGAACACGGCAAAAAGATGCAAGAAAAGAAGAGAAAAGCTTACAGCACCTGGTATTCCCAGGCGGTCTCCCATCCAAGTACTAACCAGGCCCGACCCTGCTTAGCTTCCGAGATCGGACGAGATCGGGCGTGTTCAGGGTGGTATGGCCGTAAGCGATGACACAGGCTCCAAATGAGCTATTTGAACATGCTCCTGTGTGCTTCTCTCAATTAGAATCAGCATTTCACTTTCAGTGAACAATGCGGCGCTCAAGAAAACACCCGAATACGCAGTCAAGCTTAGTTTTACAGCCTATCTCTGCAGTCCATCATGCTCCACTCCTTTGCTCCACTTTAGGACAAGATCTCAGTCCTCCCGCTCTTTGTGCTTTTTGACTTTTTCTTTCATTTTATGTTCAGCCTAATCTCCAAGTGCACTTGCATTTGTCCAAGCAAAAGACCAGGCTCCCCAAAGACCGATATCCTAGCCTCTTGGAGAGAGAACACGGCAAAAAGATGCAAGAAAAGAAAAGAAAAGCTTACAGCACCTGGTATTCCCAGGCGGTCTCCCATCCAAGTACTAACCAGGCCCGACCCTGCTTAGCTTCCGAGATCGGACGAGATCGGGCGTGTTCAGGGTGGTATGGCCGTAAGCGATGACACAGGCTCCAAATGAGCTATTTGAACATGCTCCTGTGTGCTTCTCTCAATTAGAATCAGCATTTCACTTTCAGTGAACAATGCGGCGCTCAAGAAAACACCCGGATACGCAGTCAAGCTTAGTTTTACAGCCTATCTCTGCAGTCCATCATGCTCCACTCCTTTGCTCCACTTTAGGACAAGATCTCAGTCCTCCCGCTCTTTGTGCTTTTTGACTTTTTCTTTCATTTTATGTTCAGCCTAATCTCCAAGTGCACTTGCATTTGTCCAAGCAAAAGACCAGGCTCCCCAAAGACCGATATCCTAGCCTCTTGGAGAGAGAACACGGCAAAAAGATGCAAGAAAAGAAGAGAAAAGCTTACAGCACCTGGTATTCCCAGGCGGTCTCCCATCCAAGTACTAACCAGGCCCGACCCTGCTTAGCTTCCGAGATCGGACGAGATCGGGCGTGTTCAGGGTGGTATGGCCGTAAGCGATGACACAGGCTCCAAATGAGCTATTTGAACATGCTCCTGTGTGCTTCTCTCAATTAGAATCAGCATTTCACTTTCAGTGAACAATGCGGCGCTCAAGAAAACACCCGAATACGCAGTCAAGCTTAGTTTTACAGCCTATCTCTGCAGTCCATCATGCTCCACTCCTTTGCTCCACTTTAGGACAAGATCTCAGTCCTCCCGCTCTTTGTGCTTTTTGACTTTTTCTTTCATTTTATGTTCAGCCTAATCTCCAAGTGCACTTGCATTTGTCCAAGCAAAAGACCAGGCTCCCCAAAGACCGATATCCTAGCCTCTTGGAGAGAGAACACGGCAAAAAGATGCAAGAAAAGAAGAGAAAAGCTTACAGCACCTGGTATTCCCAGGCGGTCTCCCATCCAAGTACTAACCAGGCCCGACCCTGCTTAGCTTCCGAGATCGGACGAGATCGGGCGTGTTCAGGGTGGTATGGCCGTAAGCGATGACACAGGCTCCAAATGAGCTATTTGAACATGCTCCTGTGTGCTTCTCTCAATTAGAATCAGCATTTCACTTTCAGTGAACAATGCGGCGCTCAAGAAAACACCCGGATACGCAGTCAAGCTTAGTTTTACAGCCTATCTCTGCAGTCCATCATGCTCCACTCCTTTGCTCCACTTTAGGACAAGATCTCAGTCCTCCCGCTCTTTGTGCTTTTTGACTTTTTCTTTCATTTTATGTTCAGCCTAATCTCCAAGTGCACTTGCATTTGTCCAAGCAAAAGACCAGGCTCCCCAAAGACCGATATCCTAGCCTCTTGGAGAGAGAACACGGCAAAGATGCAAGAAAAGAAAAGAAAAGCTTACAGCACCTGGTATTCCCAGGCGGTCTCCCATCCAAGTACTAACCAGGCCCGACCCTGCTTAGCTTCCGAGATCGGACGAGATCGGGCGTGTTCAGGGTGGTATGGCCGTAAGCGATGACACAGGCTCCAAATGAGCTATTTGAACATGCTCCTGTGTGCTTCTCTCAATTAGAATCAGCATTTCACTTTCAGTGAACAATGCGGCGCTCAAGCTTAACACCCGGATCATGCTCCACGCTTTGCTCCACTTTCAAGCTTAGTTTTACAGCCTATCTCTGCAGTCCATCATGCTCCACTCCTTTGCTCCACTTTAGAAAAGCTTACAGCACCTGGTATTCCCAGGCGGTCTCCCATCCAAGTACTAACCAGGCCCGCACCCTGCTTAGCTTCCGAGATCGGACGAGATCGGGCGTGTTCAGGGTGGTATGGCCGTAAGCGATGACACAGGCTCCAAATGAGCTATTTCAACGTGCTCCTGTGTGGTTCTCTCAATTATAATCAGCATTTCA